AAGCTTTTTACAGTACTTTAATTGAAACATAGCTGAAACCTTTTGTACTTTTTGCATATAGAATTACACCTGTTAGAATTTTAACTCTTATTAATATTGCTTTTAGGTTAAAACTCTAAAACAAGCAATCTTAAACTTTTTCTTTTATTTATAAATTTATAAATAAAATTTAACATTTAACAGACCCAAATATGTTACCTTATGGAATTCCAGAAGCCAAGAATACTTGAGTTTATACATAGTTGATGTTTTAGTATATGAATTTTGCAAATTAATCAGATGTCTCTTCTTTTTTTCTTCTTTTCTTTTTCTTTTTTTTTTTTTTTTTGGTACTAGGGATTGAACTCAGGAGCACTTGACCACTGAGCCACATCCCCAACCCTATTTTGAATTTTATTTAGCGACAGGGTCTCAACGAGTTGCTAAGCACCTTGCTGTTGCTGAGGCTGGTTTTGAACGTGTGATCCTCTTGCCTTAGCTTCCCAAGCTGCTGGGATTACAGGCATGCGACACCACTCCTGGCTCAGATGTCTCTTCTAACACATTTCTGAAGATTAATTCTATTTATGTTAAAAACTAAGGGGGCTGGGGATATAGCTCAGTTGGTAGAGCACTTGCCTCGCTTGCACAAGGCCCTGGATTCAATCCCCAGCACCACATACACATACACACACACACACAAAAACTAATTTACCAGGGCTTGGGTTGTAGCTCAGTGGTAGAGCACTTGCCTAGCACATTCAGGGCCTTGGGTTCGATCCTCAGCACCACATAAAAATAAATAAATTAAATAAAGGTATTGTGTCCAACTACACCTAAAAAATAAATATTTTTAAAAACCCAATTTACCCATTTCTATCTTAGGTTACCCATGAAAACCAAGCTATCAAACAAGCCTAGTTAATAATTTAACTAGATTTATTCCTGCCAAAGAAAAATCCTTAGAAGCAACAGACATTGCACTTTAAACATTTTATAGAAACCAACACTTTGGTTGGTTTGCCACCTAGAAAAATATGTGGATTAGTGATTTCAATAGCATCTTTACTCTTACCAATTTAAATTGACTCTTATTTGTTAGTTTTATTTAAGTCACATAAACTGAAAGGGACTTGGATCCATGTATTAAATTTATGAGAACTCATTTATCTATAAACCAATTTTGATACCATGTACAAGATATAGACACAAGCATGTATATAAACATGACATACAATAACACAGGTATGTTGAAGTGTACATAAAACTGAGATGAAACAAAGATTTGGTAGCTGTTTACCAGGTATTAAATCCTTACAGGTGAGATTTAACCCTTTAGAAATTAAAATACAGCCCGTTACAGCTTTTTACAGTATGACTCAGACATAGGATGGGCCTGTGCTTTTCATTTTCCCTCCCTGTCCCTAGGCCTAGAATTTTTTTCTGGAGATTTATTGTATACCCCAAACTCCTTACATGCTCAATGAGTCCAAATAAAAACAACAGTATTTTATCATCTTTGGTTTCTTCTTCCCTTTTGTCCTGGGACTATCTTTCCAATATTTTAACATAAGACCCAAAGGGGCATCTGGGGAAATTTGGGTGTCTTTTCCCTTGCCAGCATTCTCTTTTTCTACACTACAGTTTTAGAGGTTTTTTATTTTTTTTTGGTGGGGGGGCTGAACCCCCCACTGGAAGTTTCTTGCAACACCCTCTCAACCTCCAAGATGTCCTGACCACCACGTCTTTCTCAAGAATAGATTTTTCTACCTTGGTCTGTGCACGGGGTTACCTAGTCACCGTGGTGCTTCCTTAGGCTCTTTCCCTGGGTTGCTGATCCACTTTCAATTTGGGGTCTGTTGTCAGCCTCAGGGATTGCAGGTTTCCTCCCCCACTCCAAGGCCACCACAACAAGCTAGCAGGTTTGTCCTCTAAAGAGGGAGTACTCACAATCCCCTAGGCAATGTATGGAGCCCCATGTTGGACGCCAAAATTGTTAGAAATACTGGGTACTGCAAGAAATCAAACACATGCTCAGAAGTACCTTGGCAAAATGTTCTCTCTGGGGGGGGATGGGAAAAATGGAGGAACTTTGATGGGGCAAAGGGGAGGTAGGGGTGGGGGGAAATGGAGGTAGGAAAGATGGTGGAATGAGATGGACATTATTACCCTAGGTACAATGTATGACTGCACATATGGTATGACCAGCTACATAGTATACAACCATAGAAATGTACAGTTGTGCTGCAATTGTATACAATGAAATCAAAATGCATTCTGCTGTCATATATACCTAATTAAAAAAGAAGAAGAATAACAACAACAACAACCTTGGCAAGGCAAACACCTTCTGCAGAAGGTGTGCTACTAAACAAAGTCTGAAAGGAAGTACACTTTGGTGGACAGTCCACCTATTTTTATCCCTAAGGCAGCACTGTCCCATGCTCTGATAGGAAGAGCTTGGGGTAACAATCTATGCAATGGGCTAATTTTAAAATTGGGGAGGGCAAAGGGGTATAGTTAACATGACTATGATTGTGAGAGCAGGACAATGAACAGATAGCTGCAAAGGACAGGTACCAAGAAAAAGTTAATGAGTAGATAGCACTCCCCATCATCTGGTTGCTAACAACCTCTGGGGAAGGTGAAGGATCACGTTTTCCAGCACAAGCAATCACTCCCCAGATAACTCTCTTCCTGCCCTTTTGGTCACATAGGCAGGATGTGAGGAGGAAGCATGAGGAGAAAGGAAACCTGAAATCTATAAAAGGGGCAAGACACCCCTACTTCCTTGGGCACCAGCTCTGGACTCTCTCCTCTCTGGAGGAATATCTCTCTCTCTCTCTCTTATCCTTTACACAAAACTTTTTGCTCTTGCCTTAGCATTTCTCAGGTGTTTAATCGTCAGTGTGTGTGTGTGTGTGTGTGTGTGTGTTGTGGGAGGGGTGGGAGGGGGGTTAAGGACCTTATCCTGATTTTCAAGACCAGTTTCAATTGGATGTTACATCCCAGTTAAGGCTAAATACTATATTCTGAAAATGGACCACCAGAATTTCTGTTTCTCACAGAAGATAACATGACATATAACACAAGATAACCAATTGACACTGATTAAAAAAAAAAAGTGCTTGACTTCAGTAGAAATCACAGAAATACAATTAATGCCTCACTGAGATTCATCAAAATAACTGAAATTAAAAAGATCATCATCAGAGTTTTCAAGGATGTAGGCTGAGGATATAGATCAATTATAGAGCGCTTGCCTAGCATTGCTGTTATAGGACAGACAAAGCTGGACACCTAGGAATTAGCAGGAAGCAGGTTTATTGGCTGTAGCCAGGTCCAGAGATGGCTTTTGCCTAAACCAGTTTGTCCCTCTGAACCCTGAGTTCAGAAATGCTTAGAACTTTATACCCAGTGTGTAGGGGAAGAAAGAGCTCAGAGGCTCACAATCTGCAGAAGTCCACATAAAAGTAGTTTTTTCCTACTATTCTGGGCAATCAACCCAGGCCTGGAAAATAAATCAAGGACACCCTCTGTAAAAACCAGTGCCTAGGAAAGGAAGAGGTTCCCCCCCCCCCCACACACACACACACACTACCACCAAGCTGGTTTCCAAGGAACCTGATTTGTACCATTTACTCCTATCTTGTGGACTGTAAAGTTAGATCCCTAGGATCTAACTTCTATCCTTTGAAATGCGAATGCCTTTGTGAAAGCTCCTGGCTGGACTAGACTGCCTTATCACAGTCTACTGGAAACACACTTCCCACCTGAAAACTTTTTTTGCAGAAATTTTTGCAGAAATTCTTGCTGATAGTCTAAGAATAGATTTGGTGAGGGTCCCTAGAGAAGCTTAATTAAGATTTTTCTGTGGAGGAGGGAGTGCCACTACAGTGCAAGGCCCTGGGTTCAATCCCCATTGAACCCCACCTCCCCAAAAAAGTTAAAAAATAGTTTGCAAGGATGTGCAGTATCTAGACCTCTTATATATTGCTATAGGAGTTGGAACTATTACAATCTCTTCAGAAAATATGTGGGCAACTGAAGTGGCACCCCCTTTCTCCACAGAAAAGTCTTAACTGAGCTTCTCTAGAAATCTTCACCATGTCTGATTTTAGGAATGTCAGCAAAAGAGTCTATGCAAAAGAGTTCAATGTAGATAAACTTCCTATTTTCATGTCGCCCAGTTTTACTTGGCCATTGGCAGGGAAGATACCAGAACTCCAGGTGCTGGACATCCCCTTACTAGTTTTTCACAAATATATCCAGTATAGTCGTTTGTAGAAATGTGCAAACAAGGCCTCTGGCCTTGAGCTGGGACTTCACAAAGATGTCTACATTTTAAAGGTAAGTTACCAACTGAGCTCCATGGTAACAATGGGCAGGGGGAGGAAAGAAAGGGGAGGAAGCTCTCCCTTTCTTAGATGTTGTCCTTGAAGGGTTAACTTGCCCAAAACAGTGGGAAAAAAAAAAAAAAGCTGCTTTTATGTGAACTTCTGAGCCCCTCCCCTTACATGCTGGGTATAAAACTCTGAAACTACCTGAACTCAGGGTTCAGGAGATTAATTGATTACAGCAAAAGCTGTGCCCTCTGAGCCTGGCTGCAGCCAAATAAAACTGTTTCCTGCTATCTTCAGTGCCTTGCCTCCTCTGTCCCTACAATACAACATCTACTGAAGCTGAGCTTACACATGCCCTGTGACTCAGCAATTCTGTCAACAGGTTTATGCCCAATGTGAAAGAGGGGGCAAGAGATTTGACTCCTTGTTCTACTCCACTAAAAACTCAGGAGGCAGTTTTGGCAAGGGGAAAAAAAAAGCTGGCTTCAAGAAATATAAAAGAGACTTTTTCCTTTTTCAATTCTCTGTCTTATCAGACTCAGGGGCACAGTGGGACAAAAGGCAGGAAACATACATGTATAGATTTAGCTAGGAAATGTGTCACTCTCTCAGGTTCCCAGGTGCCCCTTAAGGCCAGCCTCCCTCAACATCCATTCTCAGTATGAGGAAGTTCAGAAGTTAAAACAATTTGGAGATTTTAATTTCAAAGGGGGGCTATGTTTCAATAGACTTATGTGTATATTAAGCAATAAAATTGTTTAAGTACATAAACAAAATAAATACCAATTTGGGATAGTAGTTATTTCTCAGACAGAAGGTGAAAAATGATAGGAAAGAGACTAGGGAGGAGTACTTAAAGGGTTTAACTTGATCTGAAATACTAATTTCTTTAATCTTATTTATTTATTTATCCATTTTTCTGTAGTTCTGGGGATTGAACCCAGGGGCACTTTACCACTGAGCTACATCACCAACACTTTTTATTTTTTTGTTTGAGCAGGGTCTCGATAAGTTTATGAGGGGCTTTCTAAATTGCTTAGGCTGGCCTGGAACTTGCCACCCTCTTGCCTCGGCCTGTGGAGTTGCTGGGGCTACAGGCAAAGGCCAAAGCTCCTAGCTTCGCTGATTTCTTTAAAAGAGAATTTAAATACAAATTGCAGAATCACATCGGTTACACATCCACATTTTTACATAATGCCATATTAGTAACTGTTGTATTCTGCTACCTTTCCTATCCTTTACTATACCCCCTCCCCTCTCCTCCCATCTTCTCTCTCTACCCCATCTGCTGTAAAATGGGAGTTCATAACCCACTTGAATCTAATGTATGAAATATGTCAAGAGCTTTGTAATGTTTTGAACAACCAATAAAAAAAAAGAGTAGTGTTCAATCTCAAAATAAATAAATAAATAAATAAAAGAGAATTTAAAGTTGGGCTGGGGATGTGGCTCAAGCGGTAGCGTGCACGCCTGGCATGCGTGCGGCCCAGGTTCGATTCTCAGCACCACATACAAACAAAGATGTTGTGTCCGCTGAAAACTAAAAAATAAATATTAAAAAAATTCTCTCTCTCTCTCCTCTCTCTATCTTAAAAAAAAAAAGAATTTAAAGCAAATGTGATAAAATACTAAGATCTGGGCTGGGGCTATAACTCAGTGGCAGAACACTAGTCTGGCATATGTGAGGCACTGGGCTTGATCCTTAGCACTGCATAAACAAAATAAAAGCATTCTGTCCATCTATAACTACAAAAAAATGAAAAGAAATTTAGAAACTAAGATTTGATAAATCTGTGATAAATTTTTTTTTCTTGTTTTTTTTAAATTTTAGTATTCTTTATAATTTTTTGTGGTTGTTGTTTTTGCAAAATGGCTGTAGCTGGCCTCAAATTTGGGACCCTTCTGCCATAGCCTCCCACATCACTAGGATTATAGGTGGGCACTACAATGCTTGGCTATTCTTTTTTGTTTTAATATTTATTTTTTAGTTGTAGTTAGACACGATACCTTTATTTTATTTATTTTTACGTGGTGCCAAGGATCAAACCCAGGGCCTGGCACATGCTAGGTGAGTACTCTACTGATGAGCCATAACCCCAGCCCCTCGGCTATTCTTTATAACTTTCTGTATGCCTAGTATATTTCTTCTCCTTCTTCTTATTCTTCTCTGGATATGGTGGCAACTTGTCTATAATCCCTGAGATTAGGGAGGCTGAGGCAGGAGGATTGAAAATTCAAGACCAGCCTGAGCAATTTAGCAAGTCCCTGTTTCAAAATAAAATATAAAGGGCTGGGGATGTAGCTCAATGGTAGAGCCTTTGCCTAGCACATATGAGACCCTGGGTGGTTCAATTTCAAGTGCCACACATAGAAAGAAAGAAAGGAAGGGAGGAGGAAGGAAAGAAGGAAAGAAAGGAAGGAAGGAAGGAAAGAAGAAGGAAGGAAGAAAGAAATTGATTATGTGTCAATTACAATTTTGAAAATATTATGAAAAAGAAATTGTGCTGGGCCAGATGGTGCATGTTTGTAATTCTAGCAACTCAACAGGATGAGGCAGGAGGATTAAAGTTCAAGATCAGCTTCAGCAATTTAGCAAGACCCTGTATCAAAATAGAAAAAATAAAAAAGGTTAGGGAATGTATCCCAGTGGTAAAGCACCCCTAGGTTTGATCCCCAGTACCACCACCAAAAAAAAAAAAAAAAAAAAAAAGTGCGGCTTATGTTATAAATATATATTTGAATATACAAGATAACTAATTAAGAGATTTTTTAAAACTACACCCTTAAATTTTTGTTCCAAAATAAAAAAGATTGCAACACAAAGTATATTGTCTGTGTTTCCAAATATACCATATATACACCACAGACACTGGCACTTTACCTCTATGATGTGACATGATGTGATGATGTAATAAAAGTAATACTTTTACCTTTGTGGTCTCCACAAAACTCATAACCCCAGTCTAATTGATATGGGACAGACAGATCTGAGTGGTGGGAACATGAAGTTAAGTGAATAATTCTATAAAATGAGCCTACTGTGCTGACATCCCCATGCTTTCTTTTCCAAGAAGCAATTTATCTGCAGCTCTGCCTGGTTTAAGTGAACAGGATATGGCACATTCCTCAGCAAACTACTTGTTATCTGTAAGAGAAATACAGGCCTGAAATAATGTCTATAAGGGGGCTGGGGTTGTGGCTCAGTGATAGATCACTTGCCTCACATTTGTGCGGCACTTGGTTTGATTCTCAGCATCACATATAAATAAATGAATAAAATAAAGGTTCATCCACGACAATAAAAAAATTAAAGGACTAAAAAAAAAAAAAAAAACCTAATGTCTATAAGAACACAAGTTACCCTAAAGGGTGGAGGGGGACTTTTATGACCCTTTCACAGACCAAACACCTGAATTCAGGGAGATAAGGATAATTCCTCCCCTACGAACAGGTTCCAATTAGAACCAGTCAGCATGAACCAAAGTGACCTAGAAAGGTCATGGCAGTAGGGACTTAAAAGTGTGATGTCATCTTGCTGTCAGTCAAAAATCAAGAGGTGAACCTGTGTGGGAGTGTCTAGAAACTTCTTGGGACCCTCAAAAAACTGGAGGGCAGGAGAGGCACTTTGTTCCTCTCCTCTCTCAGAGAATCCACACTCATCCTTGAAAGTGTACCCCTTTCCCCTTTCCTATCCCTTCTAATAAACATATGACTTACTCTGAGCAATATGTTTGACATCTTTCTGATTTGATCCAAAGAATTACAGGTTGAAGTGGGGGCCTTTGCACTGCCTCAGTTTCTGAGAAGGTCCCAGCTCTGTAACATAATCATGAGAAAAACAGACAAATGCCCATTGAAGGACCATCTACAAAATTCTTGACCAGTACTCATCAAAATTCTCAAGGTCATCAAAACCAAGGAAGTCTGAGAGACTGTGACTAAGGAGACATGATAGCCACATACTGTAATGTTTGCTAGCCTGGGTGGGATCCTGGCAAAGAAAAAGGACATACAGTAAAAATAAAGGAAATTCTTTTTTTTTTAACCACTGAGCCATATCCCCAGGTCTTTTTTTATACATATATTTTTAATTTTAGAGACAGGGTCTTGCTGAGTTGCTTAGAGCCTCACTAAGCTACTCAGGCTGGTTTTGAACTCAATATCCTCCTGACTTAGCCTCCCAAGCCATGGGATTACAGGCCTGTGCCACTGTACCCAGCAAAACAAAGGAAATTTTAATAAAATATAGACTTAAAGGTAATACTATTTAGAAGAAGAAAAGTATATTTTGGCTCACAGTTTCAGAGGGTTAGTTCATGTCCTTGACTACCTCGCTCTAGGCCCAAGATGAGGCAGAAAGGCTTAATGGTGGAGCACTGCTCTGTTCATGATGGCCAGGAAGCAGAGAAGGCGCTGCAAGGAAGATGAACCCTTCCACCACATGCTACCAACGACCCACCTCCTCCATCTGGCTACAGTTAGCACCCAGTTGATCTATTCAAACTGGGATGAACTGAAAAGGTTACAGCTCTCACAATTCAGTCATTTCACCTAAGAACATTCCTGCATTAATACTGAGCTTCCAGGGAGACCCCTAATATCCAAACCATAACAGTTACTGAGGGGCTCACTAAAGTTATTCAGGCTTCCATAGAACTTGTGATCTTTCTGCCTCCAGCCTCCAGAGTCACTGTTATTAGAGTAGTGCACAACCGCACTCGGCTTGGTTCATTAATTATGACAAATGAACCTATAATAGGGGAAACTGAATTGGAGTGTATATGGAAACTCTATGCTTTCTTCACAAATTTTCTGTAAATCTAAAATTGTTCTAAAATTTAGAGTTTATTAAAAAAAATTTAATCTACCCACAAGCAAATACCCAAAGTTCGGAAAGCAACACAGGTGATTTCAAACCCTATGCTTTTTTCACACATAAAACCCTTCTGGCTTTATCTATAGATAACGTTCTGTCTACACAAAAAATTCCTTAAGGGCAGAGAAATGCCTTTTTCTTTCTTTTTTGCGCCTGGCACACTATTGACGCTTAGACCAGCAGTTTAAGTTAAATACTCATAGAAAGTCACAGAACCAAAAGAATCTGAGACTTTCAGAACCTCAGAACTTGAGTAGGTTGGATCCCGACCCTCTTCCCGGTTGGCTCCTTCAAGAAGCCCCAAATCTGCTGTCTAGGCTGTTTTGCAAGAGTCCTGTGCTGCCATCTATCGGTATCTGGGAAGCGTCTCGCTACCTTGCTATAACTAGGTAGGCGAGAAGAGGACTTAAGGGCTAATTAAACTTCAGAACATCTGTAATAGTCACAAACTTCACTCAACACCTGTACAAGGGGAAACACCCACTTTCCCTAGCAATTGCAGACCCCCCTAACCCCGTATTAATACTTATACTTGTAAAACCCACAGATCTCCTTTACCTCAACAGATAAAGATCTGACCCTTAGCTCCCCTGCAAGAAACTAGGTCCGCCCGCACATCGTAGGCTTCAGAAGCCTGAAACTCCACCACCGATTCCCCTATTTTCACAGACCCCGGAAATTTCTTACATTACCATGCACACTGACGTATCCCATTCGGGGAAACGCACTTGCTAACCCAGACATCCCTACAAAAAGTTTCAAATTTCGCAGGCTGCTCACGCCAGCAAGAAAGCTCGAGAGAGTCCAAGCAGGTCTCGGAGCCCTCAGGCTTGCGCTTTGTCCCGGGTTCCGGGTCCCCACCCGCGTCTGGGTCGAGTCAGCTAGGGCTTGCAGCCGGCTGACCAAAGCCCCGCCCCTCTAGACCTGTCATCACAGAAGCCGCACGTGGCTGGGGTGGGAACTCAGGCGACCTGCAGCCATCACTTTGTCTCCTTCGTCATCCATTGGGGCCTCCGCCGCCAATCAGAGGCAGCGGATCCGGGCTGGAGCCTGAGCGCCTGGGTGAGGCCAGAGAAAGAAGGGGCGGGCGAAGAATGCCTCAGAGATCGGTGGGGGCTGGTGGTGGAAGGGGTCTGGCGGGGATTCTGCCAGGCTGGACTACTCTGAGAGGGAGGGTCTCGGTGAAAGCCGGAGAGACTAAAAGGAGGCGGAATCAGGGTGGGGCCTGGGGAAAGCGGAGGATCCTGGGGAAATGCAAAGAAGACGAGAAGGGGGAGGGGCCATGGAGGGCGGGGCCTGGGTTACTGGGGAGGAGCCTGAGGGATTAAAGAAACGAGGAAAGGGGACAAGCCCTGGGAAGGTGGGAGCTGGGACAAGGGAGAGGGTGGGCCGGCCTGTTGTGGGGGCGGAGCTCTGGCCAAAGTGGGGAGGTTTGCAGGCCGAGGCTGCAGCTAGAGCTGCTCAATAACTGCCCCAATCTATTACCTCCTCAAGTGCAACGGGACCCACGGAACTACAGGTGTGGGGCGGGGTACGCGAGAAAGAAGAGACAAGGACGAGGGTGCGCTTGACCAGACAGGAGGTGGGCGGGGGGCACCGTTAGGGATGAAGAGAATCTGGAGATTGCGTGGGGGTTGGACGCGGAGTTAGGGGAGCAGTTAAGGCAAGGAGGCATTATCCAGGGACCCATGTGGGGGAAGGGCGAGAGTGCTTTGTGGAGGTGGGAAGCACAACGTTAGGGGGCGAGGTCGCTGTCTGATGTGGAGAGTTAGTGGGGATACATGAGGGGGAGGGGATTTGGAAGACCTTTAGGGGAAGAGGACTGGTGATGAAGAAGGACTGGTGGTCCAGAGTGTGGAAGGGTCTGAGGGGACTATGTGGAGGAAGAGGGGATGCGTCTGGGAGCACTGTGTGAGGAGAAGGGTTGTAGGCCCAGTCGAGACTGGAGAACCACGACAGGAGAACCACTGGTACTTTAACAGTCTAAGGCATTGTAGGGACTTCAGGAAGACACTTGTGTTTTGTGTTCTAGGGGTGAGGGTGATGGATTTAGTTGGGGTTGAAGAAACTAGTTTGTAGTGCTCCTGGCTGCTTAATTCCTATCTTATGGCCTGGGTACTAGAGAAGCAGCCAGATCCGGCTGCCACCAGGTCTTATGTGACTGTCTTCTTAGTCTATCTTGGATCTGTGGGGCTGAGACAGGGATTTCTTCCCCTAGCTGATGTCCCCCGGAGACCCTTCCCCCATGGGGTTTCTGTCAACCCCCAACCCTTGTTCCTGTTCCTCCCAGAAGCCTGCCTTGGTCTCTATCCCCCCTCCCCCACTTTGCCCTGCCCTTAAGCTCTTGGGTGTGCTCATTTCCCACTTCCTTCCTCACCCTGGGGCCTGCCCTGGTCCTTGCCCGTCTAGGATCTTTGCCCTGCCTGGGACTTTGTACTCCATGACCAGAGACCACAGTAACCAGCAACAAGGTTCAGATCCCATCCCACTACTACCACCAAGGTCTCTGCCAACTGATTTACAAGTGACTGGTAGCCACATTTTACTGCTTGTCAGTAACTGATTTTCCCCATCCTTGTCCTTCCTCTGGGGCGGGGAATCCTAGGGCCCTCAGGAATTCTGGGCTTCTCTGGGAGGGAGGGAAGAAGTAAGGAGTACTGAGGATCTTTGATTTGTCTTTTCAGGGGTAGGCTGCTATTGTAAGCCTAACCTTGGAAGGGATGTGAGGTTCCAGCCTCAGCTAGGGGAGGAAAAGGGAGTGGCTCCTCATACTCTTGGATTGGAAATTGTCAGAAGTAGGACCTAGTCCTCTTGATGCGGGGTTGGGGGAGCTCCTCTGCTTCCTTATGGGGGACTTGAAATAATGCCAGAGGTCTTTTTGCTTCTGCTGGCTGGGAGAGGGTGGGAAAGGGCTGCTTTCCACACCGTGACTGAATGAGTGTGACAGTATTGCTGAAAGGGGCCCTAAGCCAGTCTTCCATACAACCACCCAGTAGCTGAGAGACTGGCTGGGGCGGGGGGCTGCTGAGGCCAGACAAAGCTGTGGGTAGGGTGGGGTAAAGGAGGGCAAACTGAAGCCTTTTGAAGAGGAACTGATTGCTATGGCAACACTGCTTCCCAGACAGTCTCTCAGAGAGGGCGGGCCTAGGGTAGACTCACTCCAGCTTCCTCAGGACTGGGGCATTTTGTGTGAGTGGGTGGGGCGTGAAGAGAAAGGGCATCAGTTTGCTGCTGAGGCTGGAGTACACAGCCTTTCTGCTTTGGTGAAAGCTGCAGGGCATTCAGATAATTGGGTTCATCCTCTGAAGTGGACATGAGTGAACAACAGTCATTAGAATTATAAGGCCAGAGTTGTAAAGGCCTTCAGTGGTCATTGTTTATACAAATCCCTCATTTTACAGAGTTGGAAATTTATGGCCAAAGAGACTGATTTCCCAGGTCTCATAGTGAAAGAAAAGAAGTTAGAATCCATATCTGATTATTATTCACCAGCCCTGCACACATTGTTTTTCTTTGCCAATGTTTATTGAAGACCTATTAAGTCTCAGGCTCTGAGATGTTGACCCTGAGAATATGACCATGGACAAAAGACAGATAAGCTTGCTGTTCTTGTGGAGCTTTCATCTAATAAAGGAAAAGAAAAATCGGTATATGTTTGTGAGAAAGGACATAGGTCAGTTTGTGATAACTGCTAATTAAAAGGAAAAAGAAAGGCAAGGTCAATTTTAGGACATAAGACCTCTTGATTTTACCATGCCATGTTTCCCAGAGCATACAGAGGCCTAGAACATCTTTGATACTTCTCCATGAGTTACTGTTCCCTGGCCTTTGTAGGGTATGTAAGGCCAGGCCAAATGGTAGTGGCAATGAGGTAGAACAAGATGGGGTTGCTGAGGGATTGTTCCTTTACTACACTGTTCTGTATCTCTACCTGTCTTCCCAGTAAGGTTTTACTCTGCAATTTTGGTCAGGGTGTTAAGAATTTCTTTAATCCTATTCCTTAATATTAGGGAACCAGCCAGCAAGGAAGTCAGTCTAGGGGAATTAGGTTCTTTTTCAGGGCTTTCCCCTCATCTGAGGTAAGGAGAAGGGAGCCTAAAAGAACTGTCACTTGCTTGCCCCCTTAAGTCTAAAGCAAAAAGAGCAAATAGGGAAGGACAGCTTCTTTTTACTGTCTGGCGACAACCTGATGGTCTTGGGTAGCTCACAATAAAGTAGAAACAAGAACCTAAGGCTTTTCGTTGCCTCTCAACTGTAGAATAATGGACTTTACTTCTTTTGGCTTTTATGTTTGCCTCCTACTTCTGTGGATGACAGAAGAATCCTGACTGATTTCTGATAACCTGTATGACTTCCTGATAAGTTCAGAGGGTGAGCTAGACAGATCTATCCATTTTCTTAGGTTGCTTCTAGAAAAGGTCCTCTAAAAAGTCTTTGAACACCCAATTCTTGCAGAGGTTTCCATCCTGGTCATTTAAAGAATAGGAGGACAGGGTTAGAGATGCTTTTTCTGTTGCCACTTTACTTAGCTAGATCTGGGATAGGGCCTGAGGCCCAGTGACTCAAGGGGAGGATTGGGAGTTTCGAGGGAGCTGTGAGTCATGAGGATAAGCTCCATCACAAGAGTTGGGCTCATTTCCTTAGCTCTGGGCAGAAGCCCTCCTATCCTGCTTCCTAATGTGCTCTGCTCTTTGAATATGGACTTGTGAGCAAAAAGTGCTGGCAACTGGGATGGGGCAGCCTGATCTCGGATTAGGAGTTCAGAGACACGAAGAATAATACCTAGGTTCCTGAAATTAAAATTTACCCTTAAATCAGGAGTCCTTGGACCCCTCTAACAAAGGCAAAGGAACATAAATTAGCTGTAGGAAAAGGATGAATACCATTTCTCAGCACGGTGAAGATAGGGTATTAAATTAGATCTTCTGCTCTGGCATCAAGCTTCCTGGGCTCCAGCAGTCCTATGGCTTTGAGCTCTGGTTTGGAATGTGGGGAGAGTAGAATGGGAATGGGTATATTTGGGGGTAGGGTCTGGTGTAAGAAGAGCAGGCTGATTTGGGGGGTTGTTGAATTGCGTATGTGAAAGCGCTGTGACTTTCTGTTAATCAGTCTCGGAACAGGAAGGATGGGGGAGGAGGGTTGAGAAGTGTGAGGCCTGCACCTTTGAAAGGGTTAAATGGCAGGACAGGAGTTGCTTTGGCAGCTGAGGAGTTAAGGAGATGGGCGGGGCGACCGTGGGTAGGCCTGCCCCCTTGTGGACCAATAGGCGTGCACCTACAGTAGAGGGCGTGACTTACACTCAGGATCGCAGGGAGGCTGGCCTCCTATAAGCCAATGAGCATGGTTGCTGCTCAGGGGGCGTGGTCTTAGGGGGCGTGGCGGCAGCGGCGGGGGTGGTGGGGCGCTGGGCGGGGCGGGCGGCCCCATCAGCTGGTAGGAAATGGCCTGTGAGTCAGAGGGGCAGCGGAGTCGGCGGCGCGGAGCCGGGGTGGCCCCGGGGAGGGATCTGCGCGGGGAGGGGCGCAACAGCGGCTGGGGGGCTGCGGGCGCGAGGGTCCGCTAGTATTGCACACGAAGCTGATTAGGAAGAGCCTCGCAGAGCAGGGCTCAGCCTGAGCTACCCTTTGTCTGGGTTGGGGGCCCGTGGCAGGGAGGACCGAGGATCGAGGGGTGGGACCGGGACAGGACGGAAGGGCCCGGAGCAGCGGCCACCGCAGCGGAGCCAATTTGGGAGCGGGGTGAGTGTGTGCTAAGGGGAAAGAGCAAATCTCCGAAGCCACAGTAGGTTATGGGGCCTGTCCCAGGGTATGGGGAGGAAAGGACCTGGGAGACTAAGCAAGGGGAGGGGAATCGTCCAGAAGCTGAGGTGAGTCTGCTTGGCTTAGTTTGGAAGGGTTACTGAGATCTGCTCCCTCTCCTCTAGGGGTGAAGGGCTCTAGGCTGGGGCCAGGGGGTTGGTGAGAAAGCAGAGGTTGACCTTTCTACCCACAGTGGTGGTCTGTAAGAACAACCTCCCAAGCTTGTAGAGACAAAGTATAAAATAGCCAGAAGTAGTTCTCTTTACAAAGGATGAGGGTGGAAAGCACATAGGTAGGAATTTTCCTTCCTGTCACCCTCCTTAGACAGAGCAGAAGTGGGTATCTTTAACACTGAAGGGAAGGAAGGGGAGAATTAATCTAGGAGCTCTACCTATATCAATACCCACCTCTGTCACCTCCCTGGCCTAGCAGGTGTTTGAGGGTACAGATCCCATGGTATTCTGGGACTTGTTTTTTTCTGTTTTGCTCCCTTGGCATGTTGGGAGCTGTAGTCCTTGCTAGCCACAGCCTGGCCCAGCTGTTTGATGCCAGCTGCTGCCCACCCCACGATGGAGGGTGAGGTTTGGCCTACCCTGCCCTGCCCCCCTGCAGTCCTGCCCCATGAGTCAGCTTGAAGCAATGGTCTAGAGCCAGACTGGCTGGGTGGCAGGAGAGTGAATCTTCCAGCTTCTCATTGATGGGACAGGAACTGCAAGGGCTCTGGGGTAATGAGCAGATGCCAGGCATGCTAGGGTCAAGTAGGGCATCATGTCATTACCTGGCTTCCCCAGGGCAAGGGCTCAGGCAGGCAACTGGGTGACATGGGATGTGAGGGTGCTAAGGAAAAGACCCTTTCTGAACCTGTATGGCTTGGATGAAGAAATGGATGGGTAGAGATGAGAGTGCACATTGTATCCTCTGACAACACTGCCACTGGTGTACCACCCTTTCCAGCCATACCACCCACCACAAGGGACCAGAATTTTCTTAGGTATTTCAGTTCTAATAAGGACTTGATGCGATGGGAAAGTGTAGGATGCAATGATGAGAATAATTTGAAAAGGAAAGGTTTTCAATCCCTGAGTGCAAATATCTCTTCTCTCCCCACCTCCCACCCCCCACTTCTGTTGTTGCTGATTCTTCCTATACAATTAATCTCTCTGCTTTTCTCATCAGGAAGTTTTCCCCTTGCACTGTCAGGATTGCTGCCCAAATCTCTGGGGCTAGCATTCCACTTTTTGAGTTCTGTCATGTGCTTTCCTCTGTGTTTAGAGATGAGTAAGATAGTGGGGCACAGACATGTCTTCAGGAATCCTGTGGCTGGTCTAGAAGATGCTCATATTTACATGAGGTAGTGACACTCCCATAGGTGAGGTCTCAGATGAGGAAGATTATGGTCTGGGGTAAAGAACAGACTTTCTGTTGTACTTTATTTATTTATTTTAGAGTGCTGGAAACTGAACCCAAGGCCTCGTGCATAGTAGGCAAGTGCTATATCTCTGAGCTACATGCCCAGTCCCAGAGCTGATTTTTTGGAAGGGTTGGCATTTGAAGGAGGAAGAATATGGCTAGGATAGGCATACAAAGGGCCCACCTTGAAGGAGAAAGGGCATTGTAGATGGCAGGCAGCAAAAGCTACTGCCCAAGGGAGAAAGCTGACCCTGGGGGCTTTCAGCTTGACAATTTTTTTACCCTAGTATAGGCACCTGAGTGTACACTAGTCCATGAAGACAATCATGCGCCCTGGCAGAAAAGCAGTGGTTTGGGTATAGGTGTTTTTAGGTATGTGAACCCTGGGGGAGGGGCATGGAGATACTTCTAGTTGCTTCCAGCTGACTGCCTGCTGCTGCCTTATCTCTAGTTCACAGAGCCTAGGGGGAGGGGCAGGCCCTGGGAAGTGTCTTCTGGTGTCCCTTCCTCCCCTGCCACTTGTTTTTGATTGGATTTGTTGTCTCTTGTTAAAAAGAGATTGCTGGGGGAGATTGGGAGTTCAAGGCTATCGGGCTGGCTTTGAGCTGACCCTGAGGTTTGTGCCTCTGAGGAGAGTGTAATGGGGTGTGACAGTCTACAAGAACTCTGCCCTTAGCACTGTGGGGTGCCACTTGTCCTTTTTCATATAGACATATGGGAAAGAGTTATGCAATTCCACAGCCTTGAGTAAGAGAGCTGAATTATTTCCCTGCCCACCCGCTAGCTGACATGATCTCTTGGATCTTGCGGGTATTTCATCCCCCCTCCAATTCAGGGCAGGAGTCCCCAAGATGGTGGCCCTGACAAATAGTTCATTTTGCCTCATTTCTTAACTTCCTTTTTACATTGAACCAAGACCTACCTTTCTGTGACTCCTCAGGTAGCTCAGCTCTACAGCCTGGGTGCTGGATCTGGAGCTTACTTCTGAAGTGCTCATGGTGTGGGAGAATGGTATCCTGGAGTATACTCTATTAGCCCACAGTCAGGGAGGGCCCTTACTACTGACTCCACAGATCCTGGTTTATGTCTGTTCTTTCATCAGGGTCCAGCTGAACCCAGGAGCTGCCCGGAATGGTGGCAGTCACCTTGCCAGTGCAGCAGGCATGGACCAGACTGCAAGCTAGGGGAACAAGGCATCAGTCTGGAAGAGGGGACACACATCTAGGCTTGAGGCCCCTTCATCGGGGTAAGTGCCAGAAAGTGGGAGTGGGGAGCAGGTGCAGTAAGAAACTTGAGCTAAATAATGTCATCCTCTCAGAAGTTCTAAGAGTGGCCTCTGTATTCCATTAATCCATCTGGGGATTTGGATACCTTCATCCCCAGGAATTTCTCAAGGTCACCTCTTCAGGTTAAGGGAAGGTCTGAAACTCGGCTGGAAAGAGAAGACTCATTAATTTCCCTGATCTTTTCTTCTCTTCTCTTGCACAGATGTCCCCAGGCCCCCCAACCCAGGCCCAGCATAAAGGCCGTGTGGGGGGGCCCCCCTGACCCAAGGGGGGCTTCATGCGCCACGTGCAGGCGGAGCCGTCTCCATCCTCAGAGCCAGAGGCTGGCCCTTCACAGCCTCCAGTCAGACAGGGGACCCTCCAGGGTGGCCTGCTCATGGGCTACAGCCCAGCAGGGGGGGCAGCATCCCCCGGGGTCTACCAGGTATCCATCTTTTCCCCTCCAGCTGGTGCCTCTGAGCCTCACAGGGCTCTGAAGCGGCCGGCCCCACCTACTGAGGGTCCCCGGGAGCTGAAGAGAGGCCCTGGGCTGGGGGCCAGAGAGGGATTACCCCCTGAAGAACCATCTACTGTGGGGCTATTGGCCCCAGAGGGACTGGGTCTGGGACTGGGTGTGGCCAGCCAGCATTTCTCCCATCATGGCCTCTGTGTTGTGGAACAGGGAGGTAATGCCACCTCACCTTGGACTTCAGGGGCCCGAAGACCCCCCTGGCTCCCATCAAATGCTTCCTGCAATACTTTGCACACCAGAGACTGGGCTTCCCCAGATCCAGGGGGACAGGGGTCCCTGGGGGAGTCTCCAGGGCCAGCCCCTTCAGGCCAGCTGCACACACTTGACACTGATTTGCACAGTCTTGCACAAATAGGGGGTAAGAGCCCAGTGGCTCGGGTGGGCAACGGGGGAAGCCCCTGGCCTAGGGAGTCCCCTGGCACTGCCAATGGGCACAGTCCCGAGCACACACCCCCTGGCCCTGGACCTCCAGGCCCCTGCCCTACCAAGCGAAGGCTGCTTCCTGCTGGAGAAGCCCTGGATGTCAGCTCTGAGGATGAGGGGCCAGCCCCTCGGAGGCGCCGGGGAACCCTGGGCCACCCTCCTGCTGCCAACTGTTCTGATGCCAAAGCCACACCCTTCTGGAGCCACCTGCTGCCCGGGCCCAAGGAGCCTGTTTTGGTAAGCCTGTAGAGGAGCTCATCTACTACTAAGAGGATATTTGTGTGATTAATGGTGGAGGCCTGTGGAGATGTTCCTCTGAGAGCTTGTGATGAGCTCCTCTCCACCACTTTTCTCAATGTTTTCTCTCAATAGGACTCAAGAGACTGCAGTCCCGTGGGGCGGAGGCTGAAAGGTGCCCGTCGCCTGAAGCTGTAAGTGACCAGCTTCTCCCTCTACCCTATCTGTGAGAATTGGCACAAAAGTCTGTAATCTTCTTTCTAACACTAGAGTAGGGGACCCCAGAGCAGGAACCACTTGATAGTGGCAAAGGGTGGAGCCGAAGGATATGAGCAGGAATCCCAGAATTCCTCAAGCCAACCCATTGTGTCCCCTCCCCTACCAGGAGCTCCCTTCGAAGCCTCCGGAAGGGACCAGGCCTGCTGAGCTCCCTCAGTGCCTCCCCTGTTCCTACCCCTGCTGTCAGCCGTACCCTGCTGGGCAACTTTGAGGTAGCTCCCCCTGGGCTTTGTGATTGGGGGGTCCTGGGAGGAGTGGGATAGTGGAATGTGGCTTGGATGGATAAGGAAAATAATGGCATCTGTCTCATAATGTGTTTTCCCCACTCTAACACCAGGAATCATTGTTGCGAGGACGCTTTGCACCATCTGGCCACATTGAGGGCTTCACAGCAGAGATTGGAGCTAGTGGGTCCTACTGTCCCCAGCATGTCACGCTGCCTGTCACTGTCACCTTCTTTGATGTTTCTGAGCAAAATGCCCCGGCCCCCTTCCTGGTATGACTTGACCTTACACCAAAGTTAGCACTTCAGAAGGAGGAGGGATTGGGGACTGGGGCAGGGGCCGAAAGGTATTCCTTAGATGTTCTTCACCTAAAAGTAAGTCAGGGCTAGTGTGGCAGCAAGTCCAGAATGAGATTTTGGAGAGACTGGTATTCAGGGCTTTACTGGTCCCCAATTTGGTTGATGGATCTTTGGTTTTCCTAGGGTGTCGTGGACCTGAATCCCCTGGGGAGGAAGGGTTACAGCGTGCCCAAGGTGGGCACCATTCAAGTGGTGAGTGTCCTCTGAGGGATTGGGCATGGGGAAAGAAGAAAACAGCCCTTAGGCTATACCAACTTTGAATATCCTGCCCCCAGACCTTATTTAACCCCAACCAGACTGTGGTGAAGATGTTCCTTGTGACCTTTGACTTCTCGGACATGCCTGCTGCCCACATGACCTTCTTGCGCCATCGCCTCTTTTTGGTGCCTGTGGGTGAGGAGGGAAATGCTAGTCCCACCCACCGCCTCCTCTGCTACTTGCTGCACCTCAGGTAAGGACAGGATCCAGGTATCCCTTCCGTGAATAAAAGAATCTTTCCTGGCTTCTCTAGTTCTGGATTCTTACCTTGATCACACTGTCTTTCCCTAGGTTCCGGAGCTCCCGCTCAGGCCGATTAAGCCTACATGGAGATATCCGCCTGCTTTTTTCCCGACGGAGCCTGGAGCTGGACACAGGGCTCCCCTATGAACTGCAGGCCGTAACTGAGGCCCCCCACAATCCACGTTATTCTCCTTTTCCCTGATTGCCAGTGCTCTGAACCTAGGTGGGCCAAAAGCCTGCCCATCCTGCTCCATCCTGGACAGAGTAAACACGTGGAGAAATGGCGAAAACCCCTTAGGATTGAATTAAAGTCCTCACCACGCTCATGCCCAAATTGATTATTTGGGTATTTAAAGCTTCTGATCCTTCCACACCCTGCCCTACTCCCGGTACTCCATGTGCCTGTTCCCTCCCTTGGGTTTCCCAGGCCAGCTTAGGTAGTACAGAGGAACCAGAGCTACCCTGAGATTGTCCCAAGTCCCCAGGCAAGTCATGCCAGCGTTGCCTCCCTGTCCTGGGCAGGGGCCACTTCTTATTTTATTTATTTTTAATTTATAATTTATTCAAATTGGATTGCCTTGGTAACCTCCCAAACCTGATAATTGGCATCACCCTTCCTCCTTTCTCACTCTCAAATATTGCTCCAAACTCAGGAGTTGAAGAGGCTGAAGTGTGGGGGCAGGGAGAAAACTGCTCTTCCTCAGCTGAGGACAGAGGGATTGTCCCAGAGGGACTGAGTCACTAGCCAAAGACTCAGCTTCCTCTGTCCTTCCCTGTTACCTTCCCTTCCCCTACCCTTCAATCCATCTTTGAAAGCCAACTTATGTGAGTGTGTGTGTGTGTGTGTGTGTGTGAGCAAGCACAAGCTTGTGTTTGTGATATTTGTGAGAAAAAGAGTGTGCATGCATGCACACACACAGGGGTTAACCACCCCTCACCTAGGGCTCCAGACTCAGTTGTCCCTTTCCTCTTGCCTATATCTCCTTACTTTGGGTCCTGACTGAGGAAGGTGTCTGGGGACAGAGTCAGGGCCAAGGACTGGGATGTCTCCTCTCGCCTGGCCAGATTCTGACCCACCTACCTCAGCTGGGATAAGGGGCATCCCTCAAACTCAGTTATGTGGCTCCCAACTACCCTGTTCCCCACTCCAGACTCAGACCCAGCCTCAGCCCTTGACTCCTGGGACATGACTGAGGGGAACAAGCATTTGCTGAAACTTGAAAAAAACAAAAACAAAATGAAACAAACAACAACAACAACAACAACAACAACAAAAAAAACAGGAAAAATTGTACCTGGTACTTTTTTTTTTTTTTTAGGAAAATAAATTTTAAAAATAATAAATTCTTGTTTGGAAACTTGAACTAAGCTCTATTTTTTTTTTTTTCTGTTGGAGAGAGGATGTAAAGGGTGATGGAGGGCCTAACTGAAGCTGTGACCCTGCCCTTTCTTCTGGAGTGGAGGAAGCCTGAGCCCATGAAGTCTTGGGCTAAGTCCTGCTGATTCTTGGGGCATGATTTTGCTTTTTTTATTCAGGTAATGAGGGTGCTGGGGGAGAGCTGAACTCTATACTGGTTTTGTTAATGATTTTAGCTCCTCAGAACTTCAGTGCCCTAGGAGGATGACAATTATACAGGTTTCTTAAAAAGAGAGTCATAGCATCAGGGATTTGTGCACGGTGACGTGCTTTAGACGAGGTTGAAGCTTGATGCTGTTTGCTGGACTCTATGGGAGGACCAGGCCTGACAGACTTCTACTGGGAAGAAGTGGAAAGAGCTGTGGTACCTCGGGAAAAGAGGGGAGGGTAAATCTCCGCTTAATCGACGAGCGAAGTTAGGCCCTATTACCATGGCAACGGGAATGGGGTCAGTCCCCAGTGGGAGAGCTGGGCACAACACAGCAGGCCTACCACAGAATGTCACTGTGGCAACCATGGCAACGAGTCAGTTCCAATTCAGCAGTCGCTATGGTAACACACGGGCGTGATTATACACTTTAGAGGGTAAATTGGGTATCAGGTAGGGCTAAAGAACTCGGTAGTAGGTGTTTCTGGGTCACCTGCGAGAGGAAAATAGACTCCACTTCGGCCTCGATGCCTCGGATTTTGGACGCCAACTACCAGAACCAGAACAAACCAGCCTCCGGCCCTCTGCGTTTCCCCGGGAACAACTTAAACACGCTCTTCCAAGGAACTCCGATTGGGTGAGTGTGGAGTGGGGGAAGAGACGGCGGAAGTACATCCGGGGGAGTGGAACTGCTGAAGGAAAGCCTCGGGTGAGGGCTTCTGGCGCGGCCTCTCTGCTCCGCGTCTCGTTGGTTCCGGAGGTCGCCGCGGCTGTGGGAAATGCTGGCGCGCGCGGCGCGGGGCAGTGGAGCCCTTTTGCTGAGGGTGAGAATGAGACAACCTTCTCCAGAGGGTCGGGACAGAGATCACCTGGGTCCTCAGCTAGGAAGGAGAGGGATTCCAATTTTGGGAGAGGACTGGGGTCAGAGGTCATGGGCCCCACGTGAGTCATTCTCCGAGAACCCTTGTGAGTCGAGGTTTAGGGCGATGCCTTCGGGACAGAGGGGCATGGTGCTGGGCCGGCGGGGGTCTCAGCTTACTCTTGTCTTTCCTTCAGAGCGCTGTGCAGGCTTCTCCCCGTCCTCCGCGCCGCGCCTCCTCAGGATTGCCGCGAAACACAGTAGTACTGTTTGTGCCGCAGCAGGAGGCCTGGGTGGTGGAGCGAATGGGCCGATTCCACCGGATCTTGGAGCCAGTGAGAACTTTTTGCGCACCTCGGGGCAGCCTGATGCCCGGATCCCTTGAATGTGGGAGTGATACCTCCTTGGGGCCTGTCTGCACCTTTGGCTCTGAACTCTTGGGACTAATCCTAGCAGGGCCCAGGCTACTGACTTGCATCCCATGTTACCACCTTTTCCTATTACCTAGCATCCTTTAGGTCCATTCTTGCTACTACCTACTCTCTCAGCCCCACCTGTCCTGACTAGAGATAGCTATTCTCCTGGCTCCCATTCCCTACCTTTCTCTTCATTCAGAGGCCTAATCGTGCATTCGGGTGCTATTAGGTTACTTTACCAGTGACATCCCAGGCTTCTGAGGACACCTCTTGGCAGGGGCTACTGCACATGTTTACTCCCTACTTACTCCAGTCCTAGCTTAAATTCCAACTGCATTACCCCCATCCTTCTGAGGATCCATGACTCCTCTTCCCAGGGCTTGAACATCCTCATCCCTGTGTTAGACCGGATCCGATATGTGCAGAGTCTCAAGGAAATTGTCATCAACGTGCCTGAGCAGTCGGCTGTGACTCTTGGTGAGGGTACAGGGTGACACGGGTGCACTGAGATCATTAGGATGTGGTTGCTACATAGATCCAGAGCTTAGGAGAAAGAGCTGATTGGGACCTAGGGCTGTGACCTTCATTTTCTCTCCTGCTTCTATTCCTGCAGACAATGTAACTCTGCAGATTGATGGAGTCCTTTACCTACGCATCATGGACCCTTACAAGGTATTTGCCTCCTGCTTTATCCAGCCTTCTGAATTGCCCTCCTCACTAAAATCCTGTACCAAAGCTTTTTACACTTTTCATCCTCCTTTAGGCAAGTTATGGTGTGGAGGACCCTGAGTATGCTGTCACCCAGCTAGCTCAGACGACCATGAGATCAGAGCTTGGCAAACTTTCTCTGGACAAAGTCTTCCGGGTACGTGGATCTGAAGCAAAGTTGGGGTTTGAAGCATGTGCTTGGCACTGTCAGTCCTTTCTGGGAAACAAGATCAGACCCAGGCCCTTATTATCTTAGCTCCCTGGTAGGTAGGTTAAAGCTGTGGAGCTTACATCTTTTTCCCTCTAGGAGCGGGAGTCCCTAAATGCCAACATTGTGGATGCCATCAACCAGGCTGCTGATTGCTGGGGCATCCGTTGCCTCCGTTATGAGATCAAGGATATCCATGTGCCACCCCGGGTGAAAGAGTCCATGCAAATGCAGGTAGGGAAGAGGACCTTGGTAATCCAGTCCCAGAGGGACTTAGAGTATTTTCCCTACTGGCATGAGTATAGTTGGAGGTCTTAGTAAGGGTTTCCCCTGGTTTGTTGATAAGGGTTGCTGGGGGCTTCCAGGTGGAGGCAGAGCGGAGGAAACGGGCCACAGTTCTAGAGTCTGAAGGAACCCGAGAGTCGGCCATCAATGTGGCAGAGGGAAAGAAACAGGCTCAGATCCTGGCCTCTGAAGCAGAAAAGGCTGAACAAATAAATCAGGCAGCAGGTGAGCAGAGGGTAGAGGCTGAGGAAGGAGGAGGGCATGGGTCTTTGAGAGTTGGTACTGGGACAGGAACTTTGGGGTACTCTGATTTTATGGGTTAAGCTCTCTATCTTTTCTTCCAGGAGAAGCTAGTGCAGTTCTGGCCAAGGCCAAGGCTAAGGCTGAAGCTATTCGCATCCTGGCCGCAGCTTTGACACAACATGTGAGAAATCCTCAGTTAGGAGTGGGGAACAGGAATTGACAATGGAGGGGGTTCTCCCATCCACCTTTGAGAGAAGTTCCTGCCATTCGGGGTCCTACTGAGCCAGATTACATAAGCGCTTGTATTATGACTTGCATACCCTCTTTCTTGAAACCTCACCTCCTTTCTCTTCCAATATCCCCTTCTCTAAATCTGTGATCCCTGATTTTATTCTCCTGTGGCTACAGAATGGAGATGCAGCAGCTTCACTGACTGTGGCAGAGCAATATGTCACTGCGTTCTCCAAACTGGCCAAGGACTCCAACACTATCCTACTGCCTTCCAATCCTGGCGATGTTACCAGTATGGTGGCTCAGGTTAGAGCTCTCTGAAGACCCCAGGGGCACAGAACCCCAGTCCTGGGGGCCGAAACCCTCACTATCATCAGCACCACTTAACACATCATGGAGATCTTCAGGTTGCCTTGGCCCTTGATTTCTCTTCATTCCTTATAGAGAAGGAATCTCTAAGAATGAGACACTTTCACTCACTCCTGCAGATAAGGAAACTCTCAAGATACCTTTCTGTAGATACCTATGCTAGTGTTCTGAGGGTCACCCTGCTGTGATAGTTAGTGAGATTCCTAGAGCTGACTTAAATCCTTAAAGTCTAAGGGTTGAGGGGAGGGGAGAAAGAAAATCCAAGCTCACTAGTCCCAGCCACACCTTTTTCCTTTTAGCCATTGGTAGGTTCAGCTATACCTTCCACCATTTGTCTTTATGGCTTTTTCTCTATCCCTCTTCTCAGGCCATGGGTGTATATGGAGCCCTCACCAAAGCCCCAGTGCCAGGGGCCCAGAATTCGGTTTCCACCAGGAGTGGCAGAGATGTCCAGGGCACGGATGCAAATCTTGATGAAGAACTTGATCGAGTCAAACTGAGTTAGTGGAATTGGCCTTGGCCAGGGAGTCTGGGGACAGAAGCAGCACTATTAGTTTCTGGCTTTAGTCTCCCTGCCAAGATTTTGGGTTTTATTTTTTTAATTTGAACTTATTAATCATGTAATAAACTCACTAGTGGTACACCAGAAACTGTCCTCTTTGATTGGTAATGAAGTTGGGAAACCCACTGTTGTTTTTCACCCTCTAGTCCTGTCAGCTCTTGGGAACTCATGCTTCCATGAGCAAGAATGAATTTCATGTAAAGTGGAATCTGCCTTTCTGTCTTCAAGAGAAACTGGGCCAGGTGCAGTGGCACACTCTTGTGATCCCAGGAACTTGGGAGCTGAGGCAGAAGGATCCCAAGTTCAAGGCCAGCCTAGGCAATTTAGACCTTATCTCAAAATAAAGAATAAAAAGGACTGGGGATTTAGCTCAGTGGCAGAGTGCCCTTGGATTCAATCCCCAGTACTGCAAAAAATAGAAAAAGAAACTAGGATAGTATGGAAGGATTAAATCACATGCCTACTGCCAGCTGGGGAGTTAATCTCCCTCCTGCTACATGTAGGGTTATGTGTTTTGAGGCAGGTGTTTAGGGATTTTACACAGGAAAATTGCTCTGGCAGGGTAGTACTGCTAAGTGCTTCAAAGGTCTTCAAGGACTGAGGGCAGTTGTGATTCATTTATTCAAAAACATTTAATGAAGTCTACATGTGCCAAGCTCAGTGTTAGATGTGAGTTATAAAAACAACTGCCTTTGATTTCACAGAATGTGAGGTCAGATAGGAAAGACAAACAGACATTGATAGAAAGCCATAAGTGCTGTGTCGGAGGGGCTGTAATATTAAGTAAAGGATTCCAGGAAACCTCATCTAATGCTATATTTGAACTTAGATATAAAGGAGGGAAGGGAAACAGCCATCTGGGCATCTGGAGTGAAGCTGACAAAGGAGATTGCAAATGCAAAGATTCTAAGAGCATGCCTGGCTTACAACCATGAGAGCAAAGGAAGGCTGAGGATATGGTATGGTAGAGCACTTGCCTAGCATGTGCAAGGTATTTGATCCTTGGGTTTGATTTCCAGCACTGCCAAAGGAAAAAAAAAGCAAAGTGGCAAGGAAGTTAGTGTGTAGACTTGTAAGGTCATGTAGGGCTTTATTATGCACATGAGAAACCATGGACTAGGGTTGTGCCTCAGTGATAGAGACTTGCCTAGCATGGGTGAGGCCCTGGATTCGATCCTCAGCACCACATAAAAAATAAATAAAATAAAGGTTAAATTAAAAAAAAAAAAAAAGAATGGGCTGGGGATGTGGCTCAAACGGTAGCGCTGGCCTGGCATGCGTGCGGCCCGGGTTCGATCCTCAGCACCACATACAAAAACAAAGATGTTGTGTCCGCCGAAAACTAAAAAATAAATATTAAAAAAATCTCCCGTGCTCGCTCGCTCTCTCTCTCAAAGAAAAGAATTGCTGAGTTGCGTATCAAGAGTTAAACATTAAAAAAAAAGAAAGGTTTTGTTTTGTTTTTTAGTACAAGGGATTGAACCTAGGGGAGCTTAACTACTGAGTAACATCCCAGCCCTTTTGTTTTTTATTTTGAGACAGGGTCTAAGTTGTTTATGGCCTTGAACTTGTGATCCTCCTGTGTATGCTTCATGTCTACCTGGGATTGCAGACCTGTACCTCCATACCTGGTGTTTGTTTTGTTTTATTAGTTTCATTAAGATTTAATTCAAATATCATTTCCCACTTAAAATGTAAATTTTTTAAAAAATATGTTAGTATATTCACACTTGTGCAACAATTTTAGAACATTTTCTTCACCTTCCACACGCACACGCAGTATACTATTGTGTGAGTATACCATGTTTTGTTTATTTATCAGTAATGGACATTTGGGTTTCTACCTTTTAGCAATTATGGATAATGCTATTATGAACATATATGTACAAGTTTTTTGTTTAGACATGTTTCATTTCTCTTGGATATATATATACACCCAGGAATGAAATTACTGGGTCATACGAAAAATGTTTAGCCTTTTGAGGAACTGATGATCTGTTTTCCAAAGGTGTGCAAATCCCACCAGCCAAGTATGAATATGAATTTCTCCACATCTTTGCCAATACTTACAGTTGTGTGTGTGGGCAAGTGGGCTGGGTATTGAAGCTTGGGTATTGTGTGCTAAGCAAGTGCTCTACCCTGGAGCTACACCCTTAACCTTGGCCTTTTTTTTTTTTTTTTTTTGGTTTTTTAGTTATACATGGACACAATATCTTTATTTTTGTTTACTTATTTTTTATGTGGTGCTGAGGATCGAACTCAGTGTCTCACACGTGCAAGGCAAGCACTTTGCCACTGAGCTACAACCCCAGTCCAACCTTGGCCTTTTGACTATATCCATCCTGGTGGATTTGAAGTGATATCTCCAGTATTTTTTAAAAATATTTTTTAGTTGTTGATGGACACAATAACTTTATTTTTGTTTATTTTTATTTGGTGCTGAGGATTGAACCCAGGTCCCCATGTGTGCATGGCAAGTGCTCTACTACTGAGCTACAACCCCAGCCCTCCAGTATTTTCTTGATAGTCAATTTTTTTTTTTTTTTTAAACTAGGGATTGAACCCAGGGCCTCCTGCAATCTAGGCAAGTGCTCTAACATTGAATTACATCCCCAGCCCAAGGTTAATTATTTTAAGCAACTATCTTTCCATGTGTTATCTTTTAGAATATCTATTCAGATCTTTTGCTCGTTTTTAAACTGGATTATTTGCTTTTTTATTAATTTATTGTAAGATTCAGTAAGAGACTTTGAGAGCAGGAATGATGAAACCTATCAGTTGGAGTCAACTAAAAAAAAGGGAAAAATGTAAAATTTATTCGTATTTTACATAGCTAATGCACAGTAATCACAATGAGTTGTAGAATTGGAGTTAGATAAGTTTTATTCCAGTAGCCAAGCTCTTAGTCATAACGAAGAATGGACAGTGGCTCTCTGAACTCTTCTAGCTTAGTCCCTTGCTTGCCCCATTCTCAATTACTAAGTCTTGACAAACTCTTGAAAGCCCTACCATCCTTGCCGAACTTTCACCCAGGCGCCGGCAGGTGGCGATGAGGCTCTCCGTGGGCCGCTCTGTCTGACGCGTGCACCTCTGTGCGGACCACAGACGCTGCAGCTGTACTTCCGGGCGCTGATGCAGGTGAGCCAGGGTCTCCCGAAAACCTCAATGCCGTCAACCCAAAGTAAGGGAGCCCCCACTCCTGCCCCAGCTCGCTGTCATGGCTGCCCAATACCAGGGCCAGAGTGCCCGGGGGAGGCCGGGTAGCGATCAGAGGAGGCAGAGCCGCGTGGACGTCTGGGTCCCGGCGAGGCCCAATGGGATTTAGACCAGTGCCTCTGCCCTGCTACGCAGAAGAGGTCTTGCTTTGGGTCCTCTTGGCTATCCAGACTGCCGGGAAGCGGAGTGTGATTTCTCCTCGTTCCCTCCGTCCCCGCCAGGCGGCGCCATCGCGTGAGCCCCGGTTCCCCTGGGTCAGGAGTGGACCGCCACTGGGAGTAAGTTCTCCTCGTGGACTCTGATATTTCAACATTAGGATTTCCTGGTTGTATGCAAATTCTTATGAGCTACCAGCAAAGATCCTGAGTAGATATAGGGTGGACTCTGGAAATAGTATTTTTAACAGTGACTCCAGGTTGCTGCTTATAGCTTAGGGACCTCTCCTCAGAAATACTGGCATAACTCGTGGAGGGGAACATTGTAATGGGTTGTTTATGGGGCTGTTTGTGTCCAGGACTGCTTCTAAGAGTAAGGGGTTCTAGCTGGGCATTGTGTCGAGAGACCAGTATATCCCTACCTCACCCCACAATAATGAATTCCCTTTCCTGTCGCTAGCAGGATGCAGAAGATCTCCGTGTTGCTCTTCCTGGCCTGGGTCTGCTTCCTCTTCTATGCTGGCATTGCCCTCTTCACCAGTGGCTTCCTTCTCACCCGTTTGGAGCTCACTAACCATAGCAGCTGCCAGGAGCCCCCAGGTCCTGGGTTCCTGCCGTGGGGAAACCAAGGGAAGCCTGGGGCCTGCTGGATGGCTTCCCGGTTCTCCCGGGTTGTGTTGGTGCTGATAGATGCCCTGCGATTTGACTTTGCCCAGCCCCAGTACTCACAAGTGCCTGGGGAGCCTCCTGTCTCACTGCCCTTCCTGGGCAAACTACGCTCCTTGCAAAGGATCCTGGAGATTCAGCCCCACCATGCCCGACTCTACCGATCTCAGGTTGATCCTCCTACGACCACCATGCAGCGCCTCAAGGCCCTCACCACCGGCTCATTACCTACTTTTATTGATGCTGGCAATAACTTTGCCAGTCATGCCATAATGGAAGACAATCTTATTAAACAACTCACCAATGCAGGTCAGTATGGGCTCCTTTGGAAGCCAAGAATACTTGGGCAGATATCTTATTTAGAAGTTCTGGAGCCAGAATTTTGGGTGCCCAGCTGCCCACTTGGTTGTGGCCTAGGGGTCTAGAAAGGGGGAGAATGACATTGGGACCTTGTGTGTAGAAAGCTCAGTTTGTGGGACAAAGGACTTTGTCTTTGGTGAAAGTTTAAATCTATGTGGAATGTTGATTTTGATCTTGGGGAACGCTCAGTAAAGGGGCAAGGGAGAAATGAAGAGAAGATGAATCTTGACTCACAAGTGTGAAGAAGAGTATAGGCAGATCCAGTCCCTGTTCACTCACTGACTTGGAAAAAGCAGAATATACCCAGGAAAAACAGGTCAGCAGAGATACCCAGGTGCTGAAAATTAGCAAATCATTTTGGAGGAATGGGAGTGAGAAGTCTAGGTGAAGTATGGTCATCAGGGAAAATTTCCTGATGGGAATTTTGGGCCCTGAAAGATAAGGGTTGCTGGATAGAATAGCTGTGCCTTAAGATACATGGTTGGGATTTCTAATGGGTCTTAAAGGGTCTCCTCTTCTGTTTCTCCCCTGCCCTGACTCCTACTCAGCTTCTGACCGCCCTCCCCTCCACATGTCCCTGCAGGAAGGCGTGTAGTCTTCATGGGAGATGATACCTGGAAAGATCTTTTCCCTGGAGCTTTTTCAAAAGCTTTCTTCTTCTCTTCCTTCAATGTCAGAGACCTACACACAGTGGACAATGGCATCTTGGAACACCTGTATCCCACCAGTGAGCAATGGGCCAGAACACTTAGTCCCTAAGACTGGGAACTGGGGACAGCTGCTTTAGTCTACAGATTCTGAACCTCCCATGGGTAAAATGGCCTGGGTGTTTGTTCCCAGACATAGAGGAGTGTTAAAGCCTTGCTGGGGTTGAGGAGCTGGCCTTGGTACCCTGTGCTCAGTGTTCTCCCCTTCACAGTGGACAGTGGTGAATGGGACGTGCTGATTGCTCACTTCCTGGGTGTGGATCATTGTGGCCACAAGCATGGCCCTCACCACCCTGAAATGGCCAAGAAACTTAGCCAGATGGACCAGGTGATCCAGTGAGTGTGGGGTAATGACTGGGGGAGTGGGTTTGTGCCTGAGAATCTCAGAATGTACGGTTCCAGGAGAAAAAGTCCTTATTTGGAGCCTCTTTCCTGGCTGATCTCTATATTTTCCAGGTCTTTCTAAAGTTAGGGGTCTCATTCATCTTGAATAACTCAATGGGTGGATTTGGACAATAGATTGAAAAGGTGTCTCTTTGCCGAAGGTCTAGATCCTATTTATGAAAGTCATAGCTTGGGGTGAATGAGTCCTTGAGAAAGATCTTGATCCATCTCTATCCCCTGACACATTTCTTGGTTCACAGGGGACTTGTGGACCGTTTGGAGAATGACACATTGCTGGTGGTGGCTGGGGACCACGGGATGACCATGAATGGAGACCATGGAGGGGACAGTGAGCTGGAAGTCTCAGCTGCACTCTTTCTATACAGCCCCACAGCCCTGTTTCCCAGCACCCCACCAGAGGTGAGGCCTGGACTGTGCCTTTTCTGGTTTACCAGTATTCATTCCTTACCATAATCACAGTATTTTTATTTATTTATTTATTTTGGTACTGGGGATTGAACCCGGGGTGCTCAACCACTGAGCCATATTCCTCAGCCCTTTTTGTATTTTATTTAGAGACAGGGTCTCACTGAGTTGCTTAAGGCCTTGCTAAGTTGCTGAGGCTGGTGTTGAACTCGTGATCCTCCTGCCTCAGCCTCCTGAGCCATGGGGATTACAGGTATGCGCCACCATGCCCAGCATGATCACCAGTATTCTTTTTATTTATTTTTTATTTAGTACTGGGGATTGAACTCCGCAGCACTCAACCAATGAACCACACCCCCAGCCCTATTTTGTATTTTATTTAGAGACAGGTTCTCATTGAGTTGCAGCACCTCGCTTCTTTTTTGTTGAGGCTGGCTGGCTTTTAACTCACTATCCTCCTGCCTCATGCTCCTGAGCTGCTGGGATTATAGGTGTGTGCCACCGTGCCCAGCCCTATGATTACAGTATTTTTATTTAACTAATTTTTTTTACATTTATTTTTTAGTTGTAGTTGGACACAATACCTTTATTTTGTTTGCTTATTTTTATGTGGTGCTGAGAATGAAACCCAGGGCCTCGCATATGTTAGGCGAGTTCGCTACCGCTGAGCCACAACCCCAGTTCTGATCACAGTACTCTTATAGGTCACTTTATTTTAGGCTCCCAAATCCATGATCCTGGGATCACTAACCCATGGCTCCACTTATTTCCTTCATCCCAAACACTCAGCTTTCTTTAAAAAAAAAAAAAAAAAAAAAAAATATATATATATATATATATATATATATATGAGAGTTGTAGATGGACACATACCTTTATTTTGTTTATTTATTTTTATGTGGTGCTGAGGATCAAACCCAGTGCTTCACACGTGCAAGGCAAGCACTCTACTGCTGAGCCCCAGCCCAGCCCCTTACTTCAGCTTTCTGATGAACTCATTAACCCCTGTCCTTTTCCTCTAGGAGCCAGAAGTGATTCCTCAAGTCAGCCTTGTGCCCACACTGGCCCTGCTACTAGGCCTGCCCATACCATTTGGAAACATTGGGGAGGTGATAGCTGAGCTGTTCTCAGCGGGCAAGGACTCCCAGCCCCACCTCTCTGCTCTAGCCCAAGCCTCAGCTCTCCATCTCAATGCCCAGCAGGTGGGTAAGAGGGCTGGGCTTCTGAGTGATAAAATTAGGGTGGGCATAAGAGAAGCATAATGGCTACTACATTGTCCTTTGTTTAGTCTTCCCACCTTCATAGCCATGTCCCCTTCCCATTATTCCTTCCTTCTATGCTAAACAGAGTTTGGGTCCCTGATTCCAAGTGCCCCCTTTTGTAATACTTATCCTTGCCTCTGCCCCAAATTATATTTCTGACCTGTTCCCCTTGGTCTCTGAACTTTTCTGTTAGGTATCCCGATTTCTTCACACCTACTCAGCTGCTACTCAGGACCTCCAAGTTAAGGAGCTTCATCAGCTACAGAATCTCTTCTCCAAGGCCTCTGCTGACTACCAGTGGCTTCTTCAGAACTCCCAAGGGGCTGAGGCTGCATTGCAGACTGTGATTGCTGAGCTGCAGCAGTTCCTGCGGGGAGCTCGGGCTATATGCATTGAGTCTTGGGCCCGTTTCTCTCTGGTCCGCATGGCAGGGGGTGCTGCTCTCTTGGCTGCTGCCTGCTTTCTCTGTCTGCTCGCATCCCAGTGGGCAACATCCCCAAGCTTCCACTTTCGCCCTCTGCTGCTTATACCTGGGGCCTGGGGCCTGGGTGGAGCCATACTATATGCAGGACTCCTGGCAACTACTGGGCTGAAGCTGGATCCAGTGGTTCTAGGGACCATGGCTGCAACAAGCTCACTTCTCCCTTTTTTGTGGAAAGCTTGGGCTGGCTGGGGGTCTAAGAGGCCCATAGCAACTCTGCTTCCCATCCCTGGGCCTGTCCTTTTACTCCTGCTCATTCGCTTGGCTGCCTTCTTCTCTGATAGTTTTGTTGTAGCTGAGGCCAGGGCTACCCCCTTCCTTTTGGGCTCACTCATTTTGCTCCTGGTTGCCCAGCTTCACTGGGAGGGTCAGCTGCTGCCGCCTAAACTGCTCACAATACCCCGCCTTGGCTCTTCTTCCCCAACAGGCCCCCCACGGCACAGTGGTGCATATGCCCTGAAGCTTGGAGTTGGGTTGCTTTTATGTACAAGGCTAGCTGGGCTTTTTCATCGCTGCCCTGAAGAGACACCTGCTTGCCACTCCTCTCCCTGGCTGAGTCCTCTGGCATCCATGGTGGGAGGTCGAGCCAAAAATTTGTGGTACGGAGCTTGTGTTGGGGCACTGGTGACCCTATTAGTTGCTGTGCGACTATGGCTTGGCCGCTATGGTAATCTCAAGAGCCCTGAGCCCCCTGTGCTCTTTGTGCGCTGGGGGCTGCCTGTAATGGCACTGGGCACTGCTGCCTACTGGGCATTGGCATCGGGGGCCGATGAAGCACCCCCGCGTCTCCGAGCCCTGGTTGCTGGGGCATCAGTTGTGCTTCCTCGGGCAGTGGTGGCGCTGGCTGCTTCAGGACTCATGCTGCTTCTCTGGAGGCCTGTGACAGTGCTGGTAAAGGCTGGGGCAAGTGCCCCAAGGACCAGGATTGTCCTCACTCCCTTCTCGGGGCCCCCTACTTCTCAAGCTGACTTGGATTATGTGGTCCCTCAAATTTACCGACACATGCAGGAGGAGTTCCGGGGCCGGCTAGAGAGGACCAAATCTCAGGGTCCCTTGACTGTGGCTGCCTATCAGTTGGGGAGCATCTACTCAGCTGCTATGGTCACGGCCCTCACCTTTTTGGCCTTTCCACTTCTGCTATTGCATGCAGAGCGCATCAGCCTTGTGTTCCTGCTTCTGTTTCTGCAGAGCTTCCTTCTCCTGCATCTGCTTGCTGCTGGGATACCCATCACCACCCCTGGTAAATATATATCTCAGCCCTGATTCATCTAAGGATAGTAATGATATGAGTCCAGCCCCTCTTGTTTTCAAGGAGGTGTTGTTCCTTATGTTCCTCACCTTGACATAGGGTCTCATGCCCCACACAATTGGGAAAGTCTTACTAATGTCCTTTCTCTTACCTGCTGTAGCCAAGCTGATCCCTCCCATTGGCTTTAATGAGTTCCTGGAGGTGGGGGTAGGAGGAGTGATAGGTAAGGAGTCCTCCAGGACTCATGGAAATGCTGCATCCTTATGAACACATTTCCTTATTCTCCAGTGATAGAAGTGGCAAATTATGAATACAGTATGATAGTGAGCTGTGTATGTGTGAGACAAAGAAATAGATTGAGCATAGTGGGATTCAGATTAGGATGCCTGGAGTTTGTGCAACAGAGGGAATTAGAATAATGAGAGTGTCCAGGCATGGTGACTCACTCCTGTAATCCCAGTGACTCAAAATGCTGAAGCAGGAAGATTGCAAGTTTGAGGCAAGCCTTGGCAACTTAGTGAGATCCTATATCAAAATTAAAAAAAAAAAAAAAGACTGGGGATATAGCTCAGTGATGGAGTACCTCTGGGTTCAATCTCCAGTGCCAAAGAAAAGAATAATGAGAGTGTTGTATTATAGAGAGGTTGGGGTGGTGGGCATATGTGTATGAAAATTACCACTGAATTAGCGGCTGTATATGATGGTGGGGTGGTAGGCTATGGATTAGGGGATGAGATGTAATCATAAAGACATATACTTTTTCCTCCAGGTCCTTTTACTGTGCCATGGCAGGCAGTGTCAGCATGGGCCCTCATGGCCACACAGACCTTCTACTCTACAGGCCACCAGCCTGTCTTTCCAGCCATCCATTGGCATGCAGCTTTTGTGGGATTCCCAGAAGGTCATGGCTCCTCTACTTGGCTTCCTGCTTTGCTAGTAGGAGCCAACACCTTTGCCTCCCACCTCCTCTTTTCAGGTACCTCCTTGCTTCCTCTCCCTTACTTTCATTGTTTTCTCTGGCTTTGTGGAAAAAAAGGAAAATCCTGAATTTAGAAAGAAGATGTGGTTTCGTTAGATCCTTGGCATCCCTTGGCCTAGGCTAATTGGAGTCTGAGCCAATTAGGGTGGTTGAGGACTAGGGTGGACCAATCTCAGTGTCTTCCATTGATGTCAGCCCTGCCCTTTCCTTGAGGCAGTAGGTTGCCCACTACTTCTGTTGTGGCCTTTCCTATGTGAGAGTCAAGGGCCAAGGAAGAGGCGGCAACCCCCAGGGAGTGAAGCTGAGGCCAGAGTCAGGCCTGAGGAGGAGGTGGAGGAGCCACTGATGGAGATGAGGCTCCGGGATGCACCTCACCACTTCAATGCAGCACTTCTGCAGCTGGGCCTCAAGTACCTCTTTGTCCTTGGTGTCCAGGTACGTATAGAGAAATCAGGGAGCTAGTAATCTTTTCTCATGTGTGTGTTTCACATTCTTTCATACTTTAAAAAATCCTGGGAAAGCAGGGTACAGTGGTTCATGCATATAATCCCAGCTACTCAGGAAGGAGAGGCAGAAGGATCCCAACTTTGAGTCTAGCTTGGGCAACATAATGAGACTCTGTCTCAAAAACAAACAGAAAAACCTTGGGAATGTCTCAACTGAAGTATAGATAAATGAAGAGGTTGCCTAAGCCTGGTGACCTCAAATGACAATTTTGAGACTTAAACCTGTGTTTCTTTATCTAGTCCTGGATCATTTACTCTACAACCTAGATCTGCACCTTGCTAGTTGCATTTGGGAATTATGGACATACTGGAAAGACTTAAGTAATGGCCAGGATTCTTAAACTATGATCATGGAGCCTCCTCCTTCTCTCTGGATGCAGAAGATGTACTGACATCTTCCTCTACCCTGGGAGTCAAAACCTAATTGTTAGCATCAAAGATGGATGGTGACTTGCCCAAAGTCACTGAGTTAGTAGTTGGGCCAGGGCAAGAATTAGGTTTCTTAGCTCATGTCCCAGGGTTTTTGTTTTTTTTCCCCCAGAAACACATGCTGCTTTCCTTTTTCTTTCATTTTTTCACAGTGGCCTATAGCAGTTTTCCCTTTGCTTTGCTTCTTCCTCCCTTTCCCAAGTAACTGGGACTCTCCTCTCTCTCCTTAGATTCTGGCTTGTACCTTGGCTGCCTCCATCCTCCGCAGGCATCTCATGGTCTGGAAGGTGTTTGCCCCCAAGTGAGTGGATTTACTTAAAAGGGAAGATGGTGGGTGGGAGAAATTTAGAGCAAATTAAGAACATCCAGGATGAACAAGGTTTTGCCTCTGTAGGGAAAAAGCACTAAACCTACTCTTTGATTCCTGAGGCACTCCACCTTTCTTTGTAGGTTCATTTTTGAGGCCATAGGCTTCATCGTGAGCAGCGTGGGACTTCTCCTGGGCATAGCATTGGTGATGCGAGTGGATGGTGCTGTGAGCTCCTGGTTCAGAAAACTAGTTCTGGCTCAGCAGAGGTAGCCTAGGCTATGGATGCTTACATCTGACTACAGAGAGAACTGGAGAATAATATAGCTTGGCCTGTACAGGTGCTAGCTAAACTACAAGAGAGGCTCAGCCACATCTCTTTCCACCATGCAGCCAGGCACTGCTGGCTCTGGGACTTCATTATTTTAAAATTCAAAATCACAGTGGAGTCTGATCCCTAACTCCTGATTTGGTTGCATCTGATGGATAAGGGTGTTAGCTATGGTGGGTCTCCAAAGTGGAATAAAAAAAATGTAAATATGTTTGTCTGAGATGTGGGGGAGTCCCCACTGTCATACATGTGTTGAAGGGAGGGTCAGTCTCCTCTCTCAGGCAGATTGGATCAGTCATCTTAGACATGCTTGGCTATACCTGAGAACCTTTGGCAAGAGGTTGGAGTTGTCTGAATTTACTGCCCCCACTTTTTCCTAAATCAGTCCCATTATCCCACCTATGATTTTCCTTTGCTATTCAGTCAACACATTTTTTGAGTTCTTACACACTTTGGCTGATTGCAGAGAAGACTGAGAAGATAAACCCAGGTATCATAGAGTACACAGAAGCCCCAAATCATCTTCCCTGATGTGTCCTTTCACTCTAAGACACTTTGCTCTTCACTTCTGTGGAAGCCTCCCTAGTTTCCCAACCTGTGCTGTCTATTTATTTATTTATGATACTGGGGATTGAACCCAGGGGTGCTTTACCACTGTGCCACATCCCTAGCCTTTTTTATTTTTTATTTTGAGACACCCTCTCTGAGTTGCTATGATTGGCCTTGAATTTGCAATCCTCCTTGTTAACCTCCCCAGTTGCTAAGATTACATGCATGTGCCACTGTTCTTGGCTCTTTTAAAACAGATCCACTTGCCCATCTTTTTACTTTGGGGGGTGTTGGGAGATGATAATGGAAATTGAACCTAGGACCTGGCATGTGCTAGACAAGCACTCAACCATTGACTACATCTCTAACCCTTTTTTAATTTTTAGACAGTGTCTCACTATATTGCTGAGGCTGGCCTCAAACTTGTGATTCTCTTGCTTACTCCAGAGTACAGACCTTCTTGCCCATCTTGTAGAACATTCCACCTTGTCTCATTGATTATTCCTGGACTTGAAGCCAAACTGTATTTATTAATTTATTCATTTTTACAGCCTCAGAACCATAGGAATCCTAGTGCTTCTCTTGTATGTCTCCTGTGTCCTCTGTCCATTGCACCCTCATTCTCAGGTGTCACATTTGAAGTGCTGGCATGAGATCCTCTGGAGATATCCATCAAAAGAGTTTGGCCAGGCACAAATACCTGTAATTCCAGCGCTCGAGAGGCTGAGGCAGGAGGATTGTGAGTTCAAAGCCAGCCCCAGCAAAAGCAAGGCACTAAGCAACTCAGTGAGACCCTGTCTCTAAATAAAATACAAAATAGGGCTGGGAATGTGGCTTAGTGGCCAAGTGCCCCTGAGTTCAATCCCAAGTATTTGGGGGGGAAAAAAAAAGTTTGGAAGCCAGGTAGGTGTGGTGACATATGCCTTTAATCCTAGTGATTGAGGATGCTGGAAACGAGGATTGTAAGTTCAAGGTCAGCCTCAGCAATTTAGTGAGACCCTGTCTCAAAAAGGGCTGGGAATGTAGCTAAGTGGTTATACCCCCTGGGTTCACTCCTCAGTACCACAAACGTGAATATAAAATAAATAAAGTGGATTATTTGTCTTTTAAAAAAAGTTGAAAAGAACCTCTGGAGAGAAGGGTTAGGACCAAGGTTGGAGGTTTGAACATGTCCAAGTCATGAGAAGTTGGGATTGCTGAAAGAAGAGATGATCTTGGGGCTGGGGTTGTGGCTCAGTGGTAGAGTGCTTGCCTTGCATATGCAAGGTGCTGAGTTTGATCCTCAGCACCACATAAAAGTAAATAAATAAAATAAAGCTATTGTTTAAAAGGAAAAGAAGAAATGATCTTTAAAAAATGGGAGAGCACTTACCTTTAGTTGGCATGAGGAAGAAAAGGTAAGGAGCATTGGTTATGAGGAAGAAATACACTGATGTGGTAGGTAGCTAAGGGAAGAGTTCAAAGTATTAATGGCTAACAGACTAGGGTACAGAGGTCAAATGCAAAGATGAAAAAGTATGTATTCTGTGAGGCAATTAAAGGATAGATCCTTGGTTACACTGGTTATAAACAGGTTTAATAATGTAGGATGGAGAGGGGTAGGGGTTGTGGCTCAGTGGTAGAGCGCTAGTATGTGTGAGGCACTGGGTTCGATTTTCAGCACTGCATATAAATAAATAAAATAAAGGTCCATTGACAACTAAAAAATATAAAAAAATAATGCAAGATGGAGAAGTTATGGCCCCAGCTAGCCTATAAAAGAAATAAGGGGAAAAAGAAAAGAAAACCCTCCCCCAACCTGGTGGCAACTTCTGAGGTAGTTTGGTGGAACAATTCCTTTGTGAGAAAGGAAAACACCCTTTCCATCTCTAGTACCTAGGAAGTACCTTTAGTACTTTAGTTCTTTAGTACTCTAGTACCTAGGGCAGTACCTCTAGTACCTTTGTCTGTACCTTCATCTCCCCGCAAATTGTATTTTATTATTTATTTATTTTGCAGAGCCTTCCTTACCTACAGCCTAAGGATAATCTAATCTATCAATCACTGTCTAATCACTTTCTCCTGATAAATCTTTAAGATTCTTTTAGAGAAAGATGTGTTAGAAAATTGATTACCAAGCATGATGGCACATGCCTTTAATGCCAGCTACTTAGGAAGCTGAGGCTAGAGGAACCCACATTTGAGGACAACCTGGGAGACTGAGCAAGAACCTGTCTCAAAATAAAAAATAAAAAGGGATAGGGGTGTAGTTCAATGGTAGAGCACCCTTGGGTTCAATCTCCAGTACAGCAAAAAGAAAATGAGAAGAAGAAGAAAGAAATGAGATAATATAATCTGTGGCCTTTTGTGATTGACCTCTTCATCATGTTTCCAAGGTTTATATATCAGTATATATTGTTTTTTTCTCTTCTTTTTTGGTACCATGGATTGAATCTGAGGCGCATCCCTAGCCTTTTTTATTATTATTATTTTTAAAATATTCTTTTTTAGTTATAGATGAACACAATGCCTTTATATTATTTTTATGTGGTGCCGAGGATTGAACCCAGTGCCTCATACATGCTAGGCAGACACTCTACCACTGAGCTACAACCCTAATCCTTATTTTTTATTTTGAGACAGGGTCTCACAGAGTTGCTTAGGGCCTTACTAAGTTGCTAAGGCTGGCTTTGAACTTGGCCTCAGCTTCTCGATTCTTTTTCTTTTTAAGTTCAGATAAAATTTAACATTTTAACCTTTTGTTTGGCGGGGGGTTTCTGGGGATTGAACCCAGGTGCACCTTACCACTGAGTTACATCCCCTGCCATTTTTATTTTTTTGAGTCAGGGTCTCACTAAGTTGCTTAAGTCCTTGCTGAATTGCTGAGGCTGGCCTGGAACTTCCGATCTTCTGCCTCAGCTTCCAGAGTTCCTGGGATTACAAGCGGTGTTACCAAGCCTACCATATTTTAGCCATTTTAAAAAATACATTCATAATGTGCAATCATCAGCACTATCAATTCTAGAATTTTCATTACCCTAAAAAGAAACCCTGTACCCATTAAACAATCACTTTCCTTCTTCTCCCCAAATCCCTGGCCTCAGGAATCTGCTTTATGTTTCATATTTACCTATTATGGATATTTTGTATAAATGGGATCATTCAGTATGTGCCCTTTTCAGTCTGACTTCTTTGCTTCTTTGCTCCTCCTCCTGCTTCTTTCTCCTCTTTTTTTGTTGTTGTTTTGTTGTTGTACTGGAGATTGAACCTGAGGACACCTTACCATTACCCTTTTTAAATTTTTTTTATTTTGAGACAGCTTCTCACTTAGTTGCTTAGGGCTGGCTAAGTTGCTGAGGCTGGTTTCGAATTGAACTTGTGACTCTTCTCCCTCAGCCTCCTGAGTTGCTGGGATTATAGGCCTGCACCACCACATTTGAGGTCTGTCTTTCATTTGGCTTAATATTTTCAAAGTTCATCCACATGGCATTATATATTGGTACTTCATTCCTTTTCATAGCCAAGTAATTCCATTGCATGGATAGACCACATTTTACTTCTTCATATGTTGATGAACATTTGGATTTTCACCTTTAGTTATTGTAAATAATGCTGCTATGAACATTCATGTATAAGGTTTTTGTTTTCTGTTTTATGTACCTGGGTCACTCAACCACTGAGCCACATCCCCATCCTTTTTTATTTTTATTTTGAGACAAAAGTCTCACTGAGTTACTTAGGGCTTCACTAAATTGCTGAGGCTGACTTTGAACTAGTGATCCTCCTGCCTTGGCCTCCTAAACTGATGGGATTACAGGCGTGTGCCTGTAAAGATGCCTGGCTCCCTTGTATTTTTTTTTTTTTTGGTACTGGGGATTGAACTCAGGGGCACTCAACCACTGAGCCACATCCCTAGCCATATTTTATATTTTATTTAGATACAAGGTCTCACTGAGTTGCTTAGTGCCTTACTTTTGCTAGGCTGGCTTTGATCTCTTGATCCTCCTGCCTCAGCCTCTGAGATTAAAGGCGTGTGCTACCACCCCTGGCTTCATGTACGTTTTTGTTTGGGCATATGTTTCAATTTCTCTTGAGTATATATCTGATGGTATATTGTAGAAATACTGGGCCATTTGGTAATTCTGATCTTTTAAAGAACTGTCATTCTGTTTTCCAAAGTTGCTATACCATTTTATATTCCTTCCAGCAGTGTGTATGAGTTCTGATTTCTCCACAGTGATGTCAACACTTGTTATTATCTATTTTTGATCCAATCATTTTACTGTATGTGAAATAATATTGTGTTTTGGGTTTGCATTTCTTTGAAGGTTTGTGATGTTGAACATATTTCCTTGTACTCACTGGAGAATTATCCATTCAGATCCTTTGCCTATTTTTAAATTGGGTTATTTGTCTTTTTTTAATTATTGGATTGTAAGCATTCTCTATATATTTTAGATACCAGTTCTTTGTCAGATCTCTGTGATTTGCAAATATTTTCTCCATTCTATGGGTTGTTGTAAAAGTCAGGAAAAAACAAAATATTGACTTCCCCTTTTCTCTAACCACAACCAACACAGAAGACTTTTGTGACTTCACAAGGCATGGGTATTTCTTCCTTCCAACAAGCAAGCACTTCTGCAGTGGACACCAGATGAGAAGCCTCTACTTCAATTCAGTTCTGACACTGTCAATAAGGAAATAAGATTAGTTCCCTCAGAATGAAGATTCAGTTCCCAATACTTCTTCCACTTCCCTCACCACTTCAAAAGTAAATTGCAAGCCCCAGGTTGTTTCACCTGTGCTTCTGATTGAAAAAATTGGGATTTTTCTCAGTATAGGTTGGGTTTCCACAACCCCCTCCTGGGTTGATTAATTTGCTTGAGAGGCTCACAAAACTCAAGGAAACATTTACTTATGTTTATCAATGGTGTCGACTTTTTGTCCTATTTTGTACCTGAGGAAAAAAAAAAGGAAAGATTTATTTTGGGTCATGGTTTCAGTTCATGGTCAACTTGCTTCATTCTTATGGGCCTGAGTATGTAGAGAGAGTGTGGTGGAGAAGCAATGCCCACCTCATGGGGGCCTGAAAGCAGAGAGTGGGGAGAGAGTAGAGTGGAGAGAGAGAGAGAGGGGTGAGGAGCAGGGACAAAAGATAGCCACCAAGGGCATGTCCCCAAAGTGTCCTACTTCTTTCAATTAGGTCCTCCTTCCTATAGTTTTCACTACCTACCATTAATCCATTCACTTGTGAATATCAGTAGATTAACCTATTTATTTATTTATTTATATTTAGTTGTAGATGGACACAATATCTTTATTTTTATTTATTTGTTTTTAAGTGGTGCTGGGGATTGAACCCAGGGCCTCACATGTGCGAGGCAAGCGGTCTACCACTGAGCTACAGCTCCAGCCCCTTAACCAATTTTTTAAAAAATTTTTTTAGTTGTAGGTGGACACAATACCCTTTTTTTAAAAAAAAAAAAAAATTTAGGTGTAGTTGGACACAATGCCTTTATTTTATTTATTTATATGTGGTGGTGAGAATTGGATCGACCTCACACATGATAGGCAAGCATTCTACCACTGAGCCACAACCCCAGCCCAGATTAATCTATTGATGAGTTTATGGCCCTTCTGATCCAATCACTTCCCAAAGTGTGCGTCTGCCACCACCCCCCCCCCCCCAACATTGCTGTACTAGGGACCAAATCTTCAACACATGAACCTTTAAAAGCTATTGTGGATCCAAACCATAACACCAGTTTATTATTAAGGATATAGAAGAAGATATACATATGGTGGGAAAGGGTGCAAAGCTCCAACCTCCTATCTAGATATACTACCTCCAGGAACCACCATGTGTTCAGATATAAGGAAGTTTTCCAGCCTGACCTTTTTGGTGTTTATTGCATAGGCCTTATTGCTAATAGACTGGATGGGGAAGCCCAGCAAGGTGCAGTATTTCTTCCTCCAGGGTATGGGAAGGGACCCCTCTGGAATAAGATGGGTCTTATGACCTATTTTCAGAAGAGGTAAGTCAGAGAATTTCTTGATAAAAGGCAGAGAAAGATTGGTTTTTATGACTTGCCTTAGGGAGAGGAAAACCTGGAAACTGGAGGAAGACCCAACAGTTTTCTCTTCATTTTCTTTCTCTCTCTCTCTCTCTCTCTTTTTTTTTTTTTTTGGTGCTGAGTATTGAACCCAGAGCTTCACATATGCCAGGCAAGCACTCTATCACTAAGCTACATTTCCAGGCCTTTGTTGTCCATTGAGATGGGGTCTGACTGTATTCCCAGACTAGTTTTGATTCCTGGGCTAAAGTAAATCCTTCCACCTCAGCCTCTGGATCAACTGGGACTACAAGTGTGTGTGACTGCACCTGCCTTCATTTTCTTAATATCCTTTGAGGCACAACATTTTTAAATTTGAAAAAAATCCAAATCCTATTCTTTTTTTGCTTGAGATTTTGATGTCATATAAAAAATTATTACCACGTGCAACAATTTAGTTTTAGAATATTTCCATTATCTACCCAAATTCCCTAGCCTTCCCTGCTCCCTTTCTTTCTCGTACTGGGGATTGAACCCAGGGCCACACTACCTCTGAGCTCCATCCCCATCCCTTTTTATTTTATTTTTTGAGGCAGGGCCTCACTGGCCTTGAACTTGGGTTCTCCTGTCTCATCCTCCAGAAGAGCTGGGATTTGAGGCCTGCGCTGCTGCACTAAGAGGTTTTTATTTTAGTGAAGTCATTTTTTGTTGTTGTTGTTGTGGTTGGTCATGCTTTTGTACTTAAGAATGTACTTAAGGGGCTGGGGATGTGGCTCAAGTGGTAGCATGCTTGCCTGGCATACGTGCGGCCCGGGTTGGATCCTCATGCACCACATACAAACAAAGATGTTGTGTCCGCCGATACTTGAAAAATAAATATTAAAAAAAAAAAAGAATGTACTTAAGTGTACTTAAGAATACGTTTATGGTATTTAAGAATATATTTGCGGGGTTGGGGTTGTGGCTCAGTGGTAGAGTGCTCGTCTAGCCCTGGGTTCCATCCTCAGCACCACATAAAAATAAGTAAATAAAATGAAAGTATTGTGTCCAACTACAACTAAAAAATAAATATTTTTTTTTTAAGAGAGAGAATTTTGATATTTTATTTTTTAGTTTTCGGCGGACACAACATCTTTGTTTGTATGTGGTGCTGAGGATCCAACCGGGCCGCACGCATACCAGGCGAGCGCGTACCGCTTCAGCCATATCCCCAGCCCCTAAAAAATAAATATTAAAAAATATATATATTTGAGTTGTCAAATTCAAGACCACAAACGGATTATCTTATGTTTTCTTTCAGAAGTTTTGGATTTTTGGTTCTTGTATTTGTGATCCATTTTGAGTTGATTTTACACATGGAGGGTTGAATTTTGTTCTGTTTTGCCCAGTTGTGGGACTATTACGGAGGGCGGGGCTTTCCCCGTCGTACTACGGACCCCAGCATACACTGCGCGGGCCAACACGCCGGAGAGGGGAAATCCGGGCAGGCCTGGGGGTGTGGCTGCGTGGAAAGGCTGAGTTACAGACTAGTTCTGAGAACGCTTGCTACCACCGTTTGTGAAGGCGGTAGGCCCCGCGAGGGCCTAGCAGGCGGAAGGGCCTGCCACGCGACTTCCCAGCTCAGACATGCCACACCTTCTGACTGTTCTGGTCGGTCGGGACACTTTTCTTACCCAAGTTTCCCGCGGAAACGACTCTTGAAGAGGACCAATCACAGCAGAGAGTTTTGCTGGGCGGGCCAACCAGAGGCGAGGGTGGGAGCCGCGCCACTGGAGAGCTCCGGATTTGTGCTGGAAAGGGTGGACAGCCTTTGTAGGGATCTCGAAGGGAGCCCGAAAGGGTGCGGAAGTGAGCAAGCCCCTCTTGACTATGGTGGGGGCTACGGCGGGGTTACCCTCACCCATCAGAAACCCTTCGCAGGTGTAGGGGTTCACCCTCCTCGACTATGGCCCACCAGTCTTTCCTGGGCTCCCCAGAGGCTCGCGCCAGCTGCCTGGACCTGTGGAAGGAAAAGAACGACCGGCTCGTTCGACAGGCCAAGGTAACGTGGTTACTGGGACTCTTGCTTTGCTGCACCAGGATCCCAGAAAGCGCGTTTGCAGTGAAATTACCCCAGCCTTTGGGAAGGAGCACAGCTTGACTTCCCTCGAAGAGCAAAAAATGCCTGGAGAATGCACCCCTCTTTACTGGTGAAAGGGGAGCGAAAAAAAGACTCATTCTCAGTAACGTTCCCTCCCACTTTTGGCAGGTGGCTCAGGACTCTGGTGTGTCTCTGAGGCGACACAAGTTGGTTCAAGACACACTGGAGGGACTCAGGGAGCTCCTCCACATTCTGCATGGTAAGCAGAGTCTTCTCCAGGATGGTCAGTTTGCATTCTCCACAGCCAAGAATCTTCTGTATTTCTGGGATTGAGGTGATTACTTAGGGGACAGGGAGTACACAGAATGGGCCGGAGTGGAATTGTCTTTGTACATGGAGTTTCTCTTCTGCACCTGCCTGTGTATGGGCTCGGAAGCATGCATACACAATGGTAGCATGGGAAGAAGTGGTTTCCCGGATGATTTTTGCTCTTTCAGGACTGTCTGACCAGAGGACATGTTCTTCATTGAAGCTGTTTTGTTTGGAGTGGGATGATCTCTGGATTGGGATCTTATTTGGGAAAATTTTCATGTGAGAGAAGGAGAGTGTGTGAGTGAGAGAGCCTAAGATCAGCATCTGTTGCTTCAGGACTTCCTGCAGCTGTCCCTGTTCTCCCCTTGGAGCTGATTGTCACCTGTAACTTCATTATCCTGAAGGTGAGCCTAGCCCAGGGTTTCACTGAAGACCAGACCCAGGATATACAACGGGGCCTAGAAAGAGGTGAGGGTCAGTTTGCCTTCTATTCCCCTGCCAGCTTTAGTCTGGATTTAAGTCTGTCTAAGAGGTTGGGAGAAACAACAAAAGACATCATCTTCATGGAGAGAGGTGCCCTTCTGTAATTCTCTATGGGCTCCTTAGACCAGGTTGGGGTGTTATTATTGTAATCCTTGGGCTTTTGCAGAAGAGGAAAGACAGAGAGTATGGGGGAGATGGAGTATGTGGTCTCACCTTTGCTTTGTGTATGTGTACTCTATAGTGCTAGAGACCCAGGAGCAGTTGGGGCCCAGGCCAGAACAAGGGATCAGGAAGTTGTGGGAGTCTGTCCTCCGTGCTTCCTCCCTTCTGCCTGAGCTACTGTGTGCCCTGCACCACCTGGCTGGCCTGCAGGCTGCCCTTTGGCTGAGCATTGACCGTCTTGAAGACCTGGCCTTGCTGTTGCAGACTCTGAATGGCAACCAGGTAATGGGGGAAATGATCTGAAGATGAGGGTGTCATCCCTCCTTCCTTCTCCACTGCTGCAGGTGCATGATTACTGGAAAGCCTTCTACATTTGTAGTCTGAAAACCTGAGTTTTCTGAGGGACTTTGGGTAACCTTGCTCTGGTTGTCCCATTGTGGGGGATTATCTTTAGGGCATTTTTTAAAAAACAGCTTAATGAATTTGGTTACGGTTAGGGCTTTTGTGCATGATCTTACTGAAACTAACTCACAATCTCAGTCTTCTCAGAAGTAACCCGAACATGGTTACTAAACTGGCCCCATGACCTCATTGGCATATCCTGAATGAGAAGGCATACTAGAAAAGATCACCACTGCCCTAAATTATTATTCTTTCCTTTATCCTTCCTTCTCAGATATCTTTCTCTTAGAATTGGGGGAGCAGGAATCAGGAGGAGTCTTTAACTCAAGGAGCCCAAGACTGGAGAAGTGAGAGTGGTTTTAGAATTAGAGACTTGGTCCTTTTCTCTCCAGAATGGGGCCTCTAAGGATCTGCTGCTACTTCTAAAAACTTGGAACCCTCCAGCTGAGGAATCAGATGCCCCATTGACCCTGCAGAATGCCCGGGGTTTGAGGGATATCCTTTTGACAGCATTTGCCTACCGTCAAGGTCAGCTAGCAACCTGACTCATCCTTTCCCTTAAGGTATCCTCTGGGCTTATACTCTCCCTGTCATATCCCATTCAATTCCATGGAATTTTTCTGGGCTCACTTTCCCATCACATTTTCTACTTTATGGGCTTCTCTAATCTCACACCCTAATTGCACTCAGGCCTCCAGGAGCTGATTTCAGGGAGCCTACCAAGGGCATTGAGCAGCCTGCATGAAGCAGCCTCAGGTCTGTGTCCACGACCTCTCTTGGTTCAGGTGTATACAGCATTAGGATCCTGTCTTCGTAAGATGGTAATGATAGCCCTGAGGGGTGGGCATTATAAACAGCATTTTCTTTTTGTTGGTAGCTGAGGCCTATGTCCTTTTACCCCTCTAGGGAAATCCACAGAGAGCTTTGCTGTACTTGATTGCAGCCCTGAAAGGGGGATCAGCCTGGGGTCTTCCACTTCTGGAGGCTTCCAGATTATATCGGCAATTGGGGGATACAGCTGCAGAGCTGGAGAGTCTGGAGCTGCTGGTTGAGGTAAGTAACTGTCAGATGAATATATAGGGTGGAGAATGGCTGAGGTGCTGGAGTTGGAGTAACTAGACAAGATACAAGTATAAGGAAGTATGACTCCCAAAGATTATAGATATACTTTCTTCTTTCTTTCCCATTTAGGCCTTGAGTGCCACCCGTAGCTCTGAAGTTCCACAGCTTCTCATTGACGTAGAATTGCTACTCCCACGACCTGACCCAGCCTCTCCCCTTTACTGTGGCACACAGAGCCAAGCCAAGCACCTGTTAGCAAGCCGATGCCTACAGATGGGGAGGTGAGGTTCCCTCTTGCTCAGCTGAGCTCCCCTTCCCACTTCATGCCTTCCCCAGGGTATGACTCTAGGTTTTTTGTTTTGTTTTGGTACTGAGCATTGAACCCAGGTGCACTTAACTACTGCTCCACATCCCTACCTCTTTTTGGTATTTTTATTTAGAGACAGGGTCTCACTGAGTTGCTTAGGGCCTCGCTAAGTTGCTGAGGCTGGCTTTGAACTTGTGGTCCTCCTGCCTCAGCTTCCCGAACCACTAGGATTATACGGTGTGCACGACTGTGCCCAGCCATGACTCTGTTTTTTGTTCCTGTGAGTTGGGTGATGAATGAGGCAATGGTAGGACATAGGTCTCTACTCCCCAGTGTCCTGCCTTACTGCTGAACCTGATCTGAGGGCTTTTCATCCAGACAATAACTTCTATCTTTGAAACACTGAAATCTCCCCAATCCATTCTGTAACTGAGGTAGATCCATGCAGAGCCAGGGTTGTAGGCCTAGACCTCACCTTCTTTCTTATTCCTCAAGGCCTACAAGCATCCCTTCATTAGCAAGGAGAGAACGTTTTACCTGAAGCCCTTGGAAGACCCTGCTATGGCTTAAGGTAGTGTTCATGTGTTATGACTTTCCAGGGCAGAAGATGCTGCAGAGCATTACTTGGACCTGCTGGCCCTGTTGCTGGATGGCTCAGATCCACGGGTAGGTTCTCCATAATGAAATGGGAGGGTTGAGGGTTCCTTTGGAGTAGAGCAGAATGATTGTTCTGCTTTTCCCTCTACTATTCTGTCTGTCCATTATGGAAGACCAGGCTCTATATGGTCTTTATAGTACCAGAGCCTGGTGAAGAGATCTCTTCAAGACATGCATCCTTCTCCCACTCTAGTTCTGCCCACCAACCTGCTCCCCAGGACCTTGCATGCCTGAGGTGTTCTTGGAGGCGGCAGCAGCACTGATCCAGGCAGGCCGAGCCCAAGATGCTTTGACTGTATGTGAGGAGCTGCTTACCCGCACATCTTCTCTGCTTCCCAAGATGCTTCAGCCATGGGAAGATGCAAGAAAAGGAACCAAGGAACTGCCATCCTGCCCACTCTGGGTCTCTGCTGTTTACCTGCTTCAGGGCCGGGCCTGGGTACAACTGAGGGCCCCAAAAGAGGCAATTAGTGAATTTAGCCGGTGAGCACAGTAAGCCACCTAGGGTTCTGGGGAAGTGTGGAAGAAAGATTTTCTGATTGGGACCTGGGTTGGTGAATTCTGTTCTTACCCACTCACCTGAATTTCTGAGTTTGATTCTTCTTCGCTCCTGCTCCATGTTCCAATCAGGTGCCTTGAGTTGCTCTTCCGGGCCATACCTGGGGACAAAGAACAAGGTGATTTAGAATTTCAGTTTTCCTTATCTCCTGGAAGGGGTGGAGGTGAAAGTGGGTTTCCTTTCCGTGTATCCAGCCCACCAGACTAGAAGACTTAAGAAAAGGGGCTCCAAACAAAAGAAGAGAGAGAGGGGAACTCGGGGTTTTGGTGATATGTGGTTGGGAAGACACTTATTGATTTTGGGTATGATCCTCAGGGGCAGCTTCCAACTGTGAGCAGAAGTGTAGGTCAGATATGGTAGTGCAACATCTTCGGGCAGCTGCCCTGATCAGTCGTGGACTGGAGTGGGCAGCCAATGGCCAAGATAACAAAGCTCTACAGGACTTCCTCCTCAGTGTGCAGATGTGCCCAGGTATGTATGCTATACATAACATCAGTTATGCATGGATGTTCAGGGACAGAGAGGTCCACAGAGGAGGTACTTGGGCATTATTTGTGTAAGAGTGGTTTTCTGAGACAGGAGGGCTGAGTGAGATTATGCTGTTTAAAACTAGGATATATCTAAGTGTGCACATATAAACATAGTATATATACAAGGCTCCCAAGAGTTCCCTGGTTTCCTGTGTCCTTAAGACACAAAGACCATGACTGCATTGGTGTGGGCTATGTGGGAATGGGGCCAGCTGAGCCCTTTTTACTGGGCAGGTGACAAATCCTGGAAGAGGAATGGTTGTGAGTGATCTACTCTTGGTTTCATATGTGAGTGTAAACAAGACAGTCTCGCTAGTTCTCAGTTTCTTCTTTTATAAAATGATGCCTAAGCCTATATCAAATTCTAAATCTTTCTACTCTGGGGTGGGCTACAGGTAATAGAGATGCTTCCTTTCACCTGCTTCAGACTCTAAGGAGGCTGGATAGGAAGGATGAGGCCGCTGCTTTCTGTTGGAGGCTACAGGCCCAAACTCAACTGCCACAGAAGGAAGCTACCTGGTGAGGGTTGCTGGCTTGGGGCTGAAGGACAGTTGGAATTGTGGAGTCCTTGGGAGTATTGGGGGTGATGAAGGAATGAAAGGGAGGGAAGGTTGCCTAACCTTTGATCTTTCACTCTTATGCATCACTCTTCTTGCTCTCCAGGTCTCTCCCTCTGTACTTAGAAATCTATTTGAGCTGGATCCATTCCCCTGACTGTGAAACCTTCCTTGAAGAGTTTCAGACATCTCTGCAGGAGCCTCACAACCTGTAGCTGCTATGTTTCCAAGAGCCTGAGCTGAGGGCCCAGTGAATCATCTCTGTGAGGAGGGCCTCCCCGCCTCCCCTTGCTTTACCCTCCTTGGGTGATGTGACTGGAGCTGATCATTCCTATGTAACTCTTGTACTGGTGAAGTTGGTGGCAGTCCTGTGTGGTTTGGGATACTCCTTCCTTCTGGAGGAAGTATTCCCTGCTACCAACAAGTCATTGACTTTGCTTGTAGCATCTGTTTTTCCTGTTTCCCCTTTTCTTGTGTTGAGTAAAAATGCATATATATATATATATATATATATATATATATATATATGAATATATATCTTGTCTGCCTAGTACATATACTTGGATGGGAAAGCTTTGGTGTGCTTAGTTGAGTGCTGGTTGTCAAAAGAACCCTCTCCCAATATTGACTGCCTGTGCTCCCCCCCCTTTTATTTGTTGGTGTGTGTGTGTGTGTGTGTGTGTGTCGGGGGGTGCTAGCGATTGAATCCAGGCCTTGTATATGAACTCCCATCCTCTCAACATCATCTGTCTTATGAGCTGGAGGCCCAGCTATGATGGAAAGACTACACTAATCCTCATTCAGTGCCTTAGTCCTTTACAGACCCAAAGCCCAAATCCTGTGCTAGGTGACAGGAGTTAGGTATGGAGGGTGACCTAGACAGGCTTTTCAAGTTAATGGCAGGTTCTTAATACTGAGGAGGGACAACCAGATCTCTGAGTCTATCAATGACTCCTCACCTACTTCCTAATTCTAAATTCTAGAAACTGAACTCATTTCAGTCAAACTTGTCTGTGTGGATGGGGGGGTGAAGTGTGATTTGAGTCAGCAAGCCCCAAAGAACCCTATTGACGCCAGTCAGGGCCAACTGTCATTGTAACTGAGGGACTCCTAATTCCAGTATGTAATTTTCTTGCTGCCTTGGATGATATTGGCTCTGCTTTGTGTTCTGTGGCTGCCTTTTGACCTCTTTGGACTCTGAATGTGCTCTCCTACAGGCATCTATATTAATACTCTATGGTAAGGGAAGCACCCGTCCCTTAAGCACTAGGAAACGGTAAAACTCGTGGGATTAACTTGGGGAGGGTGCAATGACAATGGGGTAGCCCGGATGAAAAGCTGGGGTGCTAGTCAAAAGAGCCAGAGTAGGGGTTGCTGGTGCCAGTATTTTGTTTTTGTTTTTGGTGCTCGGGATTGAATTCAGGGGCACTTAAGGACTAAGTCACATCCCCATCCCTTTTTATTTATTTATTTTTATATTTTTACTTTGAGACTGTCCACATTGCTTAGGACTTCACTAAGTTGCTGAGGCTGGTTTTGAACTTGCCATCCTCGTGCCTCAGTTTTCCAAATTGCTGGGCATGTGCCATGGCACCTGGCTTGGTGCCAGTGTTTTAAAGAATCAAGAAGTGTTTGTGTGGTGATGGAATAAAAGGATCCCCAGGTTTGTGGAGAAACTGTGTGGATTATCACTACAACAGAACTAGACTAATAGAAGAGTTCAATCCATTGTGCCAGGTTCTTCTAGGGGGATAAACTCGGAAGCCAATGAACTGGAGCCAAGTGGGAGAGTCCGCCTCCAAAGGCTTAAAGGCTCTCCTTTTACTAGTCGATCTGGTCCAGTTTCTTCCGCTGATTGGTCTAGACTCACAATCCGTCGAGGAAGCGTAGCGTTGCGACCAATTGACGTGGCGTTACTAGGCGTGTTGTATCCCTGAGGCGGGACCCAGGCCATAAGCGAATTTTCTGATTGGCTGTGGTCTCTGGGTTGCTGGGGAGAGGCGCGGAGAGGCGGGCGCGAGTTCCCAGGGCAGGCGCTGATTGGCTGAAGTGAGAGCGGCTTTCCTTCCGATGATTCGGCTTTTCTCGACTCAGTCTCAGCTAAGCGTTTGCAGCCGTCGTTGGAGTCTTCGCTGCCGCTGCCTCCTCGCGAATCAGCCAGCGTCTCCCGCCCGCCCGCAGCCCGAGTGCCGCTGGGAGGAAGCGAGAGGGAGGCCCCCTGTGGGTTTGTAGCTGCTGCTCGCCATCCCTCCCCCAGCCTGGGAGAGCCTAGCCCCGGCCCAGTCGGTCGCCTGCCACTCTTGTAGCCGTTACCCGCGGGCCGCCACAGCTGCCGACCGGGAGAGGCGCGCGCCATGGCCTCTGGAGCCGAGTGAGTGTGTGCGCGCGCCCGCCAGCTAGTTGCGGGGGCGCGCACCGCGGGATCCCCCGCTCTGGGTAGGCCCCGGTCGGGCCTGGCCGGGGGCGCGTCTGAGAGGTGGAGACCGGGAAGGTGGGAGAGGAAAGGAGAGGAAGCGGGCAAACGAGGGCCCGTGGGCCCGCGTCCCAGCGCGCCACCTAGGCTGTGCTTGTGTTGGGCCCGGGTCGGAGCCTGGGCGAGATCGTGCTGTGTCATGCAGGCCGCGGCCGGCCTGATTGACCCTCTCGGAACTGCGGCCCCGGCGTAGTGAGGTCTTACGTCTCACGCTGCTTGCTCGGAGCCCCAGGGCCTTGAGGCACGGGTCTGCGAATCCGCATACCACCCGTGGACGACCCTGGGCCCACGAAGAGAGCAGGCCCCGCGAGCCCGCAGCCCCAACTGGGCCCGGTGGGCGTGGACTTTGGGCCACGTGAAGGCCTCTGGAGCCTTGAGACTCAGGCTGCGGTTCCGGGCGGGGGAAGTCCCAGCGAGCTCAGGAAAGCTCACACTGGCCCTTTTGGAGCTGGGACTACTTGGCCCGAGGTTGGCATCCTCAGCCACCTGAGTTGTGAGGGCCTGTTCAGGAAAGGGCAGCCCCTGCCTTTCGCCTCTGGCCATCTTCCTACTTTAGGCCTACGAGGAGGCTCTAGAGAGGTCCTTGCTAAAGTTTGAAGCTCACTTTCTGTTTTGTGGCCTTTCCTACACTAAAGCTTTCGTGACTTGCAGGTTGGAGTTACCCAAACCCTTCAGGGAAAAGACACACGCCCCTTTTCTGAAACAGCTACCTAGAGAAATTCTCTGGGCCTTGGGGGTTTCTGGCCCTACCTTCATCTCTCAGGAAAGCATCAGATAAAACCTGGCCACCTCAGCCTATTCTGCCTAGAATCTAGAGGTTTAGATACAAAAAAAACCAAACCAAAACAAAAAAACACGTTCTACTAAAAACTTGTATGTAAATCACCTTCCTGCTTTGAAGAGATTAGTGTTTTGAGGTGTGTTCCTTTTTTTTCAAGTTTCTGAATTGGGATGAAGTATTACTCAGTTGCTTAATTAAAAAGGTGATTGTTGATGCCTAAAATAGGCTCTCAGGTTATATCCAGCTAGCCTCTGCTTTTCAAAACTAAAAATCTAAAATTCTTGTAACCTGGAATCACTAGCAGTTTCTCACCTCTAGGTCATCTTAATGACTTACTGAATCTCCTCCAAGTCTCCTGTGGCCTGTTGGTTCTGGAAAGGACCTGAGTCATGCATAAGACAATGGGGAATGTTCCCAAAGAACCTCCAGAATTGCTGTTAGCCTATGGTCAGGCTGAATTCACTCTTTTACTGATCTCCACAGATAAGGAATTAGAGGTCTTTTGTTTGTTTTTGGTACCAGGGATTGGACCAAGAGGTGGATTAACCACTGAGCACATCCCTGTCTCCCCTGCCCTTCCACTTTTTTCTCTCCTTGAGACAGGGTCTTGCTAAGTTGCTTAGGGCTTCGCTAAGGTTCTGAGGCTGGCCTCCAACTTGTGACCCTTCTGCCTCAGCCTTCTCTGTTGCTGGAATTACAGGTGTGTGCCACCACACCCGGCTCTCCAGTCCTTTTTATTTTGAGACAAGGTCTTGCTGAGTTGCTGAGGCTGATTTCGAACTTGTGATCCTCCTGCCTCAGCCTCCTGAGTTGCTGGGATTACAGGTGTGTGCCACTGTGCCTGTCCTAGAGGTTTTTACCTTAAGTGAAGGGCATATCACTCTTTAGAGGTAGGGTCAGTAATGGTAGGCATATTGGAGGTTTTTCTAGAATGCAGTTTTGAGGTTAATATACAAACTATGATGACTTGAAGCAACTGGCATTTTATTTTTTTCCAGCCCCAGTCTTGAAAATCAAACAGGAAGATGGACAGTCCTTGGGGGGAGTATAGGATGGTATTTTGATGGGTTGGGGGTAGGCAGGAGAACTGGTAAGTTTACATAGGTTGCCCTGGGTAGTCACATTGCCCATACTAGAGTGTTGATGATTTTTGAAAGAGTCTACCTGCTCTGCAGCACTGTGCCCAGAATGGCACACTTTTAGGATGGAGGAGTAAAGTTACAGATGAGGAAACTACTATTGGAAATTAGTTTAAAAGCAGTAGTAAAGATAGAACCAGCCAGATGTGATGATGCATGCTTGTAATCCTAGTGACTCCAGAGGCTGAGGCAGGAGGATCGCGAATTCAGAACCAGCCTCAGCAACTTAGGCCCTAAAATTTCAGTGAGTCCCTGTTTCTAAATAAAATATTAAAAAGGGCTGGGGATGTGGCTCAGTGGCTGAATGTTCCTGGGTTCAATCCCTGGTACCAAACAACAAAAAACCCAAAACAAAAACAACAGACCAGAGTGAAGATTAGCAGAGAGCTTATCACTTTGTAAAATGAATGGGTTTATTTGATATTCTAGAGCCCATGCATCTTATCTATTTTCCAAATTGTGAAGGTGTATCTAATGGCAATACTATTTTGTTAGCAATATTCCTAGCTCCTAGAACAGTACCTGGATTACAGTAGACAATTGTTGAATGAAGAAATAGTTCTATTTTTTTCTTTGGTTAACACATTTGCCCAACCTTAGTGAGAAGAGGTAACTCTTCAAAGGGAGAGCCCATTGAATCTAGTATGTGATGGAGAGAGCTAGCTAAAAAATTGTTTTCATTCACTATTTGGTGAATGATCCTACCTTCTAGGAAGTGAAAGAAATTGAGTTTAGACTATGGCAACCTTAATTTGGATGAGAGGGATTTGAATTTGTCCCATGTTTTAGCATTTCTTGGTTTTGACTTGATGAACGAACTCTATGAAGTTGTGTGCCTTTGCAGAAATTACTGTGAAGTTCCTTTAGACTTGATTCTGACTAATTGCCTGCCTGCCTCTTTCCTGGGGATTGAACCAGGGCCTCACATATGCCAAGCAAGCACTCTTCTCTGAGTACATTCCTAGACCTTTTAAAATACTTTTTATTTTGACCAGGCAGATCTCCAACTTGAGATCCTGTTCCTCAATCTCTCAAGTAGCTGAGGCATGTAGAACCCCTGCCCAATTTTGAACCTCTTTCTGAAGGTTCTAGACTGTTAAATGTGTTTTCTGAATATGATAGTTTTTGTGTGCTTGGTTTTCTTTTTCTTCCGTGTGTGTGTGTGTGTGTGTGTGTGTGTGTGTGTGTTGGTACTATGATTGAACCTAGGGGCACTTTGTCACTCAGCTACATCTCTATCTGCTTTTAAAAAATTATTTATTTATTTATTTTGAGGGGGCCTTGCTAAGTAGGCTGGGCTGACTTCTCGAACAGACCAAGGATCCTCTTGCCTCCGCCTTCCAAGTCTTTGGAATTACAGGCGTGTAGCCACTACACCTGCCTGTGCTTGGTATTCTTGTGGTACTTGGGAAAGCTCTGGCATTGAACAGGTCTATCTTGTGAGGAGAGTAGTGCTAAAAATTCTACTTCATTGTTCCCCAGCTTGCTTGGTGAGACTTGGTGTCCCCAGGCCCCTAAGGGAAGTTGTCTAGCTCAGTTTATTCCTTGGAAGGTTAGCATAAAAAAGAGCTTGTGTTTTGCTTTGGAGTACTAATCATGATGACCATTAGAACCTTGTTACAGGCATTGTGTTGAGTATTTACACTTATTATCTCACTTAAAATGGTAAATCTCTTTATTATTTATTTATTTATTTAAAAAATTCTTTTAAAAAAGTAAATCTCTTGAAATAGGTACTACTGCAGTCCCCATTTTACAGATGAGGACATCAAAGTCCAGAGAGATTAACTAACTTGCCCAATGTTGCAATTAAACATTGGCAGTGTTGGGATTCAGATAGGTCTGACTGCATCGCTCCTGCTCTGAACTGATGTTTTATACAGTTTTAAGACTTATTTTCATTTCTCTTAATTATTAGAGTTAGTAGAATGAGGAATGTAATATAACTGGATACTGCTCCTTGTTTTCTTGATTGAATTTCTTTCATCTGAGTTCTCTATAGGAATACCTTCACCTATCCACTTTGTTTCCTAAGTGTGTGTTTTTTGGAGACTGTTGGGGCCTCTAGATATGGGGTATCTATTGGAACTGACTTTGTTTCCTCCTTCTAGTTCAAAGGGTGATGACTTATCAACAGCCATTCTTAAACAGAAGAACCGTCCCAATCGGTTGATTGTTGATGAAGCCATCAATGAGGACAACAGTGTGGTATCCTTGTCCCAGGTAAGTTGGGTAGACACTCCAGTCTTTCTTTATTGCACTGGAGGGATTTCCCCAGGTTTC